TAACACTGAAACAACCCAGCTGCTTCATTGTGATGGGAAAGACACAGTGGTACATAGACTGTCTCGTACCCGAGCTACACAATTTACCACATTAACCATGTGGTAAATTGCGCAAAAAAACGATTAAAAAATATGAGGTTATTATAATTATTATTAAATTATTAACTTTAAAAGGACAAGACTTTGCTTTATAATTTGTGAAGAAATACAATTATATTTCAGTGTGTTTGTGCTGTGAATATTCAAGTAACTGGTATAGTTTATAGCTAAAAAGGGTTTAAAAAAAAAGATCTTTCGTGTACACTTTAATTTAGCATTTGGGTGGGAGGTTATTTTATCTAGACTGTGTCATCCTTTTTTGACGGACGGCTTCTTGCATTTCTAAGTTTAATCACTACAGAAGCGTATTGCATTCAGCGAAGAAAAAAGATCAGACAGCTTATCTCATAATTACGAGATAAAGATCTCGTAATTATGAGATCTTTTCTCGTAATTTCGAGATCGTGACGAGATCCTCTTGTAATTACGATCTCGAAATTATGTGAAAGGATCTCATAATTACGAGATAAGATCTCGTAATTATGAGATCCTTACTATGAGATTTTTTTCTCGTAACTATGAGATCTCATAATCACGAGATAGTAACTACGAGATATTTTCTCGTAATTATGAGATAAGCCGTCAGATTTTTTTTTCTTTGGTAAATGCAATACGCTTCAATAGGATTACACCAACAATAATTTGTTACATTATTTTGTAACAGCTAATTAGCACAGACCTTTTGGTTTATAAAACAAAGCTTAACCACTTCACTGATAATTACGATAAGATTGTAAAGATGGCTTTCCAAATGATAGTAATTGGCTTTTAGTCCTAGTTTTAATTGAAAATAAATGTTCAATAATAAGCTATTACACAATAAAAGTGGTCTGATGATTATTCAATAATAATATTATTACTAGGGACTGGCCTATTTCTAACTAGCAGCAGCACTAGAACTAATTAGGCTAGTATTTTGTGAAATGCTAATTAGCCTGCTCGCTAGTTTAAGGCCCACAAGCTTGCACAATGAAATAGAAGCTTTTTAGTCAAGTTGGTATTTAGAAATTATCTATTTCTTACAAGCAGAAGCACTTAATTAAAAATTGATAGCTTTTAGCTAACTAAACTTGGCAAAACAAGTCTGCACTTGTTACAAGGGCTATGTTGTAGTGCTAACTAGCGCATTCATTAAAAGTAGTTCAGGATTATAGTCTTTAATAATGTAAGAGATGGCTACATCAAAATATGACAATGGTGTCTGGCACATTTTGTAGCAATAAAAAATTCTAGCAGGGATCTATGAAAAAGTAAAAATATAAAAAAAAAAAGTCAGCACTATTTTTGGAGTGCTAATGCTAACTAGCATTTAATTTGACCAGTTGAAATAAATGTGCCACTTTATATGTCCATCTTTTCCTAATTTTTAACTAGTTTTAAAAAAAAGTTACAAATATTTTACCATTTTATTAAAAAACTAGAAAATTTCTAAAGAAATTTTGAGGGGGGCCACCTACTGCCCGTCTGGGTAACTGTGCCAATACGGCCCTGGCAAGTGACATTGGGGCTCCCCAGACCAACTGCTTACGCCTTTGAGGGCTGCTGAGGGAAGGAAAGAGGGCTAGTTCATGGGCAAAGAGAGCTGTGTGCCACTTGTGCTGAAATCTGGGAAATAGACGTGCACAGCATATGATGCACAAGGGTAATATGGGTTGTCCATATTGAACCGCAGTGGGTAAAGTGCAGTTGGCGGGCGCTGCCCGCATGCTAGGTGCCCTTGCAGCGATGAAAAAAATCACCAATGGCGGGCTCTGCCCGCCTGCTAAGAGCCATTGCAGTGATGAAATCACCATTGGCGGGCTTCGCCCGCCTTCTAAGAGCCATTGCAGTGATGAAATCACCAATGGCGGGCTCCGCCCGCATGCTCAGAGCCATTGCAGTGATGAAATTAAAAATGGCTATGAGCAATATGCCAGAATGTATGAGTGTGTATAAGGAAGAGGCTTTTATTCTGTAGAGTCCCTGTAGTCTTATTTTGAAAGTCTATCATGGATGTGCATCAAAAGATGGGTCATGCCCAGCAGTGATATAGAATCCATTTCCAAATGTTAAATCACTGGTTTTCCATGTTATTAGGTGAATAGCTGCTGTATTACAGAGTAAATGGGAGACTTTTATTGTGAAATTTGCTCTGGGGTGTGTTTTTGAAAAGGTCACTAGAGTCTAATAAAAACAACCTGAAAGAGTTTGGGTCATAATGTTGAGCCATTTGCATCAATTATTGCATTAGTATAATCTAGAGGCTTTTATTTTGTAGGGTCCCTGGAGTCTTATTTTGAAAGTCCAACAGAGTTGTGTTTAGAGAAAATGTTCAGACCCAGCAATGATAGTTGATGACTTTCCAATCGTTAAATCACTCTTTTTACCATGTTATTAGGGCAGTAGATGAAGATGAAATGGGAGGCTTTTATTTTGAAATTTGCCATAGGGTGTGTTTTAAACAGTCTCCTAGAGTCTATTCTCTAAAATGGGGTTGAGTTTGGGTCATAATGTTGAGCCATATAGGGCAATAAATATATGTAAAAAATATAGAGGCTTTTATTTTGTAGGGTCCCTGGAGTCTTATTTTGAAAGTCTATCAGTGTTGAGTGGCAAGGGAAGTGTCATGGACAGCAGTCATATAGTATCCATTTCCCAATGTTAAATCAGTGCTTTCACCCTCCATTAGATTAATATGTGCTGTTTAAAACAGCAGAGGTAAAATCTGTTTGAAGCACGGTTACCTTGACAACGCTTAACGAGCCTGTCAGTGACAGAGAGAAAAGCGCAGCACTATCGTCCCTTCGCTCTCAGGCTTTTTTGAATGGGAGGAACAGCTCCGAACAAACGACTGCTTAGCAAAAACCGTATGAGTTATTCAAAAAATTTCTTCACCATGAGCATCAGCAATCCTTCGACTCCAACTATGCCAACTTTGTTGTATGTGTGTCTTTCAGAACAATATTTATGACGAGTTGAAAACACATAGTGATGTTTGTTTTTCTCCCCTCTTCTGCTCCAAAACCAATGAAAAACGGCTGATTTTCATCGACACTAGGTCGGTCTGGAGCGTTTTTAAGGAAAAGTATTAATCCTACCGCAATTCCGAAGACATTGTGTGAGTCCAGAGGTTTCAGTCTACAAACTGACCAAAAATGGTGACTGTAGCTCCAAATATGTGGCCGTGAGGGCGAGTTAAAATGTTTTATCTTAAAAAAAATGGCTGCCTCACACTAAGAGTTCAGCAGCTGCACTGTAGCAGGCTGCTGCAGAAGCTAACTGTCAGCTAGCTTCCAGGTGCTTACCCTCCAAACAAACGACTGCTGAGCAAAAACCGTAAAAGGTATTTGAAAAATTCTTTCAGTGAAAGCAACATCTATCCTTTGTCTCAGACTGGGATAACCTTCATGTCTGTAGGTCTTTCACAACCCAAAACGAAGCACAAACAAAATGGCTGATCCCACCTGCTCCTCCCTTTGTTTTAACTGCAGCAGCTCCTCTCACTCATCTTTTTGCTGCTAAAGCACCCCTCCGAACAAACGACTGCTGAGTAAAAACCATAAATGATATCTGAAAAATTCTTTTTATCTAAGCGACAGCTATATCTTGTCTTCAATTGGAGTAACTTTCATGGCTGTAGGTCATCTACAACCTGAATGGGAAGAGAAAGAAAAAGAAAAAAACGTTTCATCACAGCTGAGCTTCTAATTGAGCTAGCTGCAGCAGCTCACTGTCACCCAGCTTTCAAGTGCTTAAAACAGCCTCCGAACAAACGACTGCTGAGCAAAAACCGTATGAGTTATTCAAAAAAAATTTTCACCGTGAGCGTCAGCCATCCTTCGACTCCAACTATGCCAACTTTGGTGTTTGTGTGTCATTCAGAAAAATATTTATGACGAGTTGAAAACACATAATGTCATTCGTTTTGCTCCCCTCTTCTGCTCCAAAACCAATGAAAAACGGCTCTGATTTTGATCGACTTTAGGTCGGTCTGGAGGGTTTTTAAGGAAAAGTATTAATCCTACCGTAATTCCGAAGACATTGTGTGGGTCCAGAGGTTTCAGTCTACAAACTGACCAAAAATGGTGACTCTAGCTATAAAAATGTGGCCGTGAGGGTAAGTTTAAAATGTTTTTGGGTCTTAAAAAAACGGCTGCCTCACACTCTAGCTTTTCAGTTGCTCCACTCTAGAAGGGTGGATTTTGCTAAAACTTTGTGGCGCTTGAGGTCCGATTATACAAAAACCGTAGCAGTTATCAACATGCCGTCTTCAGTTTTAAACAGACGAAGGATTTATCTACAAACTGAGCTTTAAACAGTTTTTCTAGGTGAAGGTATGGCGACACAGTGAACCGCTGTTTTTTATGCTTTTTTTTACCTCTCCCCATTCATTTCCTATGGGATTTTATTTGCGACGTTTTCGCTAATAATTCGCAAACCGTCAGACTAATGAGAAAGTTTTATACAAGCACGCATCGCACCATTGGTCCCGACGCGTGTGCCAACTTTGGGCCCGATCCGCCAAACCGTGCGGGACTAGTTACGTGCCGAAGTTTCGGTGGCGAGGAGAACTATAAGCTATAAAAATAATACGCGGAATAAATATGTGCAATAGTAGTAGGTGGGCCATGCCTTCGGCATGTGGCCCCCCTAATTAGAACGGTGTAGCTGCATGTCTGTTTTCATTACTTGTTTTTTGTTATTTATATTAAGCAGATAAAAAGTAGTAGTAGTGAAATAAATCCAATTACAGAAACACAATTTTTTTACTTCTAGAATCAAATATTTCCAAGCCACAAAGTAAACCACAGAAAGATCACCAAATCACCACCACCAACAGTAAACACTCTGAGATCATGTGAATTCTGCAGAAATGTGTCTCTAGATTTAACAGTTGGAATGATATTTCCATTAGACAAAAGTGGTTTGTTGTCAAAGCTCTGATCTTGTTTTAATGACACTAAAAATCAATACAGAAGTCTAAATATAAAGCCTAGATGATGAAATTTATAACAACTCCATGCACAAGGTTAACTACTGGGAACAGTTTTACAGCCTGGTCCTTGACAACTCTTTGTCAACCGAACAATAACGAAAAATTACATTCAGCCACATGCAATGGTTGATAAAAGACTTGCATCTTCTCTTTAAGTCCCAGAATGTAGTAACCTGGTGATCTTTACAGATGATGAATCACCAAGACATTATTGTTGGCATGCTATCTAGTATCAGAGTGCAATTTTCTCGGTCAAATTTGTGGTCAATAGTTATTAACAAATGCATTTCTCTTGGCAGGTTTTATTTTCTTCCCTTTATGGAGGCATACTTGGTATACGTTATAATCATAATAAGAGTTGTAAAGTATCTGAGCTTAGTAACCTGTACAATACAATCCATAACTGCTCACACTGCAGTTCTTTACCACATAAAAAAAGAACTCCAGCAAGAAGTCATTTACAAAAACATGTACTTCTTTGGATAAATGAAGTTCAGTGATAAATGGTTAAAAAAAAATAACATGCATGATTTTTCTTTGCATGCTTCTTCAAAAAAAGAAAAAGTACCAAATGAATCAAAATCCAAAGTGCAAACAGAGGAAAATAATCTGAATTCTTTCAAATGTGTTCAAGAGGCTGCACAAACAGTAACTACAGGGTGGCTATAACAATATTGTATATAAGGATGTTTCACAAATGGACATATGGGCAAAAATGCACAACAAATGAGCAGGTACCTGATAATTTCCAGATTGGATTATAGAATGATGCCTATTCTAAATTACATGCCCTTTCTGTTTGGCCTTTTGAGGAATGCGTTGAGATTTTTTGGTAAAGTCTTCAGCTGTTAAAAGTCAAATATCCAAGTCCAGAGTAGAGCACTTTATGTTGGTGCAAAGCACATTACAATCAACATCTGTTAAGCTATAAAACTCAAGGTTTCTTTCTAAGTAAATACTGACCCCTGCAGGTTAAAGCTGCTGTGACAGGGGAAAAAAAAGCAAACTGCACATAAGAAATGGGTTTAAAACATGTTAGTCTATGTTAAAAGGAATGTTTTGGATTTAAATCAACGAGACAGCAATAACTCACTCCTAAATGTTTCCACCCTTTATTTTGAAGTTTATCCTGCAAATTTTAACTAAAAATCAAACAACTCTGTTCGAGGAGCTGCAATGATTTCTATCAAGAATCGGTTTATATTCCACATGAATCTGAGTAGAAAGAGTAGAATTTGGAAAAAAAAGATTTTTCCAAATAAAATGTCCAGGCATCTGCATATGACCTAATAGTGAATTAACCTGATATGGAGTTACATATGATTAATCTAAATTATACTGAACAGTTCAAAGTCCAACTGAAAATCAATATCAAGAAGCGGATTAAAAAACTTTTAGAATTCTCCAGCTAGAGTCTAGAAAATATAGAAAATCCATGTGAAGAAGGTTGTGCATAAGAGAAAGGTGAAATCTGCCTCCTCCTAAAGAAGACTAATTGTTATAATCAAAGAAAAGTATTGATTTAAGTCTGCATACTTTTGCACAAAGGTCATTGCCTCCATTTTTTATACAACCTTTGAATAAAAGATGTGTTTGATTTTCCTGTTAAATTAGACAGGATACTAAGCGGTTGGAAAGGATTTATCATGGTCTCAGTTGATAGTGTGAACCTGTCGTGTAAATTTGATAGATGTCAAATTTTTCAGCAGTTCAAATTAAAGCTTTCTTCCATTATTGGAAGAAAACAAAGAAAAAAAATCGAATATGTAATCGGGGGGAGATAAGAAATAAAGGCAGCCAGTGCTCACAAGAAAAAAGGCAAAGAGCATTCCCTATATATATCTAAAAACCATTTTCTCTGGACAGAAATAAGGAAACAAAACAATAAAATTAGGCCTTTTTTTTTGTTTGTTTTTTTCCCTCGACCATTTAACCTCAATCACTCACCAGCGTTAGTAATCAGTAGTAAAACTCATGTACAGCTACAAATATACATACATTATCTATACATAGTACCATCGGTTCACCAGTCAGAGTGGACAAACAGGAAACACACAGAAAACAAGAGAATAAAAATTAAATACAGAAAAACTAGATGCTTTGGTAGAAAAAAAAAAATCTCAATGTACCATAAACTTTGTGCACAACCCGTTTCCGACGCTGCGTTAATTTGAGGGATGTCAAAGAGAAATCAAATCTACACAAAAATATTTTTCTGTCCACTTAAGACAAAATTAAAACATCCAGGTAATGGAAGTGGAGGCTTAAAGAAAGTTAAATCCATCTCAAATATCAACAACCATAGAAGTAAAACAGAACCTAAGTTAATAAAGATGTTCTAGTGCAGCTTTTAGTCACCAGAGGACCATATTCCACAGTAGTCCTGCTAACTTAGCTAATGTCCTCCTCCAGGCTACAATGGCACAAATAAAAAACAAAAAAGCATTGAAACAAAATCCCATCTCTGTTTAGATGAAATAAGAATCCCAATAAGCATATTCTTAAAGGCGAGATTTAATGAAGGGTACACCATCATACAGGTGTGCTCTTAGTTTGAGAAAGAGCGTGCCTCTCTTCTATAACACCTACAGGATTGAACGAGAGGAAAAAGATTTTAAAAACAAAAATATTGTAAGTTATGTTTTGAACCTAGTTTAAAAATATAAGGCATTTTTAAACTGACTATAGATGAAAGACCAGAACTAGTTTCTAATTAATCCTGCTGCTGATTATGGTGAAAGCAGTCTTTGAGTGCAGTGAGATACTAGAAGAGCAGCCTGACAAAACTGCAATTAAAATAAATGGCAAGGTCCCCATCGCCATCTAGTGGTTGGCATTTGACATTACAGCTCCAATTTTTAAATTAAAAACATTTTCTTCTTAGAAAAAAATCCCTTAATTATATCTTGTTAAAACTACATATTTTTACAGATAAGGGCCTAAAAGATATATATAACAATCATGATCATACCCGAGCCGTAACGTGTCAGATGTCAAAAGCTGTTCAAAAGCTGCCGCTTCACTCAAGAGATTAAAGCTTTTCAAAATATACATATTAGGAAAAAAAAAAAAAAGTTTAAAGCTGTTTGAGACACAAAGTTTGAGATTCCCTGGGTCGCCATTAAACAGCAAAGCTGACTGGCGGCAAACGTCAAAAAAAAAAGATGCAGGGGAAAAATAATTGAAAGACATTTAAACTAATGTCTTTTTTTTTTAAACGTTTAAAACAAAAGATTGATTATGATTCTAATGAATATTTCCTTAGCAAAATTGACAATAACAGTAAAAATAAAAAATTACAGCTCTGTAGACAAGGACAAAACAGTGATTTTAAAAAAAGGATAAAATTAGCAGATAATCATTTGTACCCCACATATGATCACTACAGACCCCTATGTTTTTTTTCTTTTCTTTTCTAGCTCTGTAAAATCCAAAAGTCTAGTTGAAAGAAATATCTGCCCCCGACCGGCCAGGTGTGATGGAGGATGACGTAGAGTCGGCCAGTGAGGTGTTACTATTGTCCCTGCTCTTGTTCAGGCTTCTCCGAAAAGGAGTCGACTGGAAACTGGGTGTGGAGCAGTTGGAGGGCGGGCCAGAGCCGGGGCTGCTGTGATTGGACAGCGCGGTGAATACAGAATCGTTGCGGGAGCTTTTGTTTTGAAGGTCTGGGGGGATGAGCTGGCTGATCTCTTCTGGCAGGCGACGGTACTCGTCCTTGAGTTCTCGATCCAGCTGTGACTGAAGCTGTTCATGAGCAAAAAGACAAACAAAGGCTTATTAGTATGGGAGGTGCCAGTCAGCTAATGTGATAAAGGGGCTAATTTCTCAGTTTCTTTTTTTATTTAATCCACAGATTTCAAGAGAATCATGAAACTATGCATTAACTCAGAGCTTACTGATCAGAAAACAGTGCAGTTTACGCAATGGATATGAAAGAAAGCTCTTATAGAGCCATTAAGACACATTTTTAGTGCTAATAAAGTGCATTTCTAAACCCAAATTTTATTTTTCACATAATCTTTCTGTAGGCAACAATTTCTGTTATCTACAGATTAAATTATTATTATGTTCCAGATCATAATTAGCAGTGGCTGTTTTCCTCTGTCAGAGTTGGAAAATGATAAATTGTACAGCAACCAGCGCTGACATGAAGCAAACAAATCCTCTGCAGTAAAGCACTGACAGATTACATAAAGACAAATGAGATATTTTTAAGGTGTGCGCTGCCTGTTTAATGCAGCTTATAACTTTATATATGATTCTTGGAATACAGAAATGGGGGAAATGATGTTTTCCAGCGCTCATATGAATCAAAATGCTGGCATTTAAATTGCAATGACATGTTTTTAGTTATGGTGACATCCAGGATGTCTCAACACAGAGCCGCAACCAAAAGCTTTAGGACAGTAACTCTACAAATTCTCATGTTTACATACCAGGAAAGATGAAATCATATTCCAGACATTTAAATATTGCGAAAGAAACCTGGAATTAAAGCTCATCCTCAAGTTTTATGGTCTTTAGATCAGTTTTTAATCAACCCTACTCTTCAAGTATTATATACATATCTTAGGCTACATCACATGGCAGTCTGACGTGAGCCAAATCTGATTTTTTTTTTTGCCCATAATGCGACCTGTATCTGTTCTTTTAATGACAGTCTGAACACTGATCTTTTGAAGATCTACTCTTTGACGTGTCTGAATGGACAGGTCACTCCAGATGCCTTTTAATGTCCCATTCATTTAAGGCAAGTGTGTGACAGCTTGACCAAAAGACAAGGTTGAGAAAGCCTGCTTTAGTTTGATTATTAATTAAATACATTTAAGTTAAAAAGAGTAAAGTATTAGGAAAAGTGCTTCTTTTTTCACACTAATTTGTCAGTGCTCACCTGAGGAAGCAGAGCTTCCAGCTGTTGCAGCAACTCCTGATGCCTCAGCCCTAACTTGTCTTGCCTCATACTCTGCGCCTTCTCCAGCTGGTGAGCAGAAAGTGGAGAAGAGATTTAAGATAAAAAACAGATAATGAAACGCAAGAAAAAAAAAATCACAAAAGAAACTTAATCATAGCAACATCGGTAAAAGCTGCTCCAGAGAAATAAATGAGGTCAGTTGAAACATGCTAGGAGCCTCAGTGATGTGTGTGCACGTGTGGGGTGGAGTACGTACCCTTCGGATAGCCTCGACAGACTCGTTAATGTGTTTCCTGTTGATCTCATTTTGGTCCCTAAAGAAAACAAATAATCAGAAGGAGAAAGTCTGAACAAAAAGGTAACCTCTTCATGTTTATCTCAGAAACACAAGATTAAATGAAATTTAAATATTTTGTACACATTCTCTTTCGACTTTGCTTCAACAATGCTGTTTATTCGCTTCCTTTCCAGCATCTTCTGAAGCTCCTTCTTCTCCCTGCAGGCATAGACATAGTTTAACTTGATATGTAAAATACAAAAAAAAGATTAAAAAAGTGTAGCTGAACTTAAAAAAACATGGGGAAAATAAATTCTATTAAACTATTGCCTTGTTTTTGTGTGTGTGGGAATAAGGTTGCTCTTACTTTTCACAGGTTTCTTTTTGTTTCTTCAGCTGAGAGCTGTGGCTTTCAGCCGCCATCTGCTTTAGCTTCTGGAAAGCCTGAAAAGACAGAGCAGGTGTCTTAGTAACAGGATGATGACACTCGGCAAATTTTAGGCCAGACTTTCTTGATGCCTCTGAGGTCATAAGATCTACACATGCATCTAAAATGGTTGAGTGAGAGCTTGCTGGAGGTTAGCAAAGCTCTGTGCTTACAGAACAACGGTCTTGTTACATACAAACAGGAAGTGTTGTTAACGCTCTAAGTCATGTTGCTGTATTGAGTTCTGTGGTGAGGCGTTATTACCTCTGTCAGGTGATGCTGTCGCATCAGTTTTTCCTGAGCGTAAAAATCTTGTCGCAGCGTTAGGAGCTCATGCATTTGCTGCTCCTGGAGCTGGGCCATCTGCTTCTCCAGGTCCCCGTTCTCAGAATCACTGGAATAAACACACTAGTTTAGCCATACTACCCTTAAAAGTAAAATTTCTTGCTCTGTGGCTGACACATTTTATCCTATCTTCTCATCAAAACGCTTGGTTTAAGCTAGGGGTCGGCAACCTTCCAATCCAATACAATCCATCAATCTAATAAAACTCATTTGGCCGCAGACATTAAAACACGTTTTTAAGAGAGAAAAGGATAACTTATATTTTATAAATGTCTACCAAAGATTTTTCCTGCTTTTATATTACCATTACATCATTTTAAATTTTAGGTTTTGAAATGAAGGAAAAAACTTGCACAAATGGAATAGATATATATTTCAAGTGGGTAAATGAGGATTAAAAAAAAATCAGTAAAAACAAAAAAAAAAAACAGTATTTAGAGTCTATTTATTTGGGGAATTAGTGAAATGGGAAAATGTGAACCAACGTTTGTTAGTACCGTATTGTATGGATTAATAGTCGCTCTGGACTACAAGTCGCACCAGCCGTAAACTGGATTACGAAGAAGGAAAACAGAGATAGACTACCGTTCAAACGTTAGGGGTCACATTGAGATGTCCTTATTTTTGAAGGGAAAGCGCAAACAGGATCTAACCAGAGTAGAAAAATAAGTGGGAGGCCGCGTTGCACAACTAAGCAAGAAGATAAGTACAATAGAGTCTCTAGTTTGAGAAACAGATGCCTCACAGGTCCCCAACTGCCATCTTCATTAAATAGTACCCGCAGTAGCCTGTTTGTGCTGTCCTCTGAAGGGAGTAGTACACATCGTTGTAGGAAATCTTCAATTTCTTAGCAATTTCTCGCATGGAATAGCCTTCATTTCTAAGAACAAGAATAGACTGTCGAGTTTCAGATGAAAGTTCTCTTTTTCTGGCCATTTTGAGCGTTTAATTGACCCCACAAATGTGATGCTCCAGAAACTCAAACTGCTCAAAGTAAGGTCAGTTTTGTAGCTTCTGTAACGAGCTAAACTGTCTTTAGTGTGAAAATAACATGTGAAATTATAAAATTATGTGTTAATAATTTCCCACGTAAGTCGCTGCAGAGTATAAGTCGCAGCTGTGGCAAAACTATGAAAAAAACTGCGACCTATAGTCCGGAAAATACGGTATGTGCATTTTTCCAAGGATTAGCTGGCTCCTCGTCATATTCAAGGCAAAGTAATAAAGAGAGATAAAGTTGAGTGTGTATAGTAACCTGACTCCGCCAGATGGATTTGCTCCGCATATCCATCTGGAAACCTTCGGTTGAAGTAATTTTGGGAAAGGGCGAAAATACTGGTTAGCTGATTGGCCTATGTTGGTGATAGACGGGCCAAATAAACCAATCAGATCAACGAAGCATATGACGTACTAACAGCCAGGCTACTCTTGCCGAAACCAGTCGGGAGAAGAGCAAAAACATCCTTTTCCTCTGAGAAAAGCCTCCAGAGCAGTGTTTTGCTCTTCCTTCAGTGAAGAAATACTGTAATTGCGATAAAACTTGCTCGATAGCCACGCTAACGCTAGTTTCATCGGCTGAAGCCACCATGTTCTTTAGACTGAACTGTCACGCTTCTCGTTGCGTCACACCTCAACCCGCCTCAAAGCCAACGCTGATTGGACGTTCGTTTGGTGAACGGCTCCAAATTTTCTTCAACGGAGAGTCTCCAGACTGATTAGCGAGTGAAATCTTGAAAGCTTGCGAGATCAGGATGGTCTCACGAGGCTATGTCTATAGAGCCACAGGTTGCAGACCACTGGCTTACTTCATACATCACTTTTTACTTACCTTTTCTTTATGCTACGTTTAAAGTTTTTCTCAATGATGGTGGACTTCTTCTGACTTTCAGACACCATCTAAAAAAAAAGCAAAAACAAAAAAAAAACATTTAAAGCACAAGAGAACAAATTAAAATTCTCAAATCCAATTCAAGCTTTTTCTATTCTGTTTTCACCTTTTTCTTGTTTTTCTTCCGCAGCTCATTAAGTTCTTTAGTCTGTTTCTTTGTCAGTTTAGTGTAACTCTTGTGTGCTTTCAGGTCCTCCACTGATAGAAACTGGATCTCTACAAGAAACTTCACATTAAATCCAGCTTATGTTTCCCCCAAAGGACATTTTAGCAGTTGCAGCTTTACTGAATGAGACAAACAGGATGACTTTATTCATTTCAGGCTTGAAATGAATGTGTTGTGACAGTCTTACCTGTGAGAACAGTGGCAACCAGATCCTCCTTAGGAGTTTGTACTACACATGGAGGCACAGAGACATGGGAGAAAGGAAAAAAAACACACGAAACACTCACAGTTTATGTGTGGGTGACAATGGAGAAATGAGGCATGTAAAAACTTGTGATTAAGTTGACTTGAATGCAAATTCATCAGAAAGATTTTTTGCAGATGCAGAATAAAATATGTTATGATTTGTATAGTAAGATCTGAAAAAATCTTTACAAATGATTATCTTACACCATATATTACACCATATATTCTATCATATCACTTGAAGTTTTCCCCATTAATCACATTAAAACAAATGTTAAAGTGCTAACAGGATGGCTTAACACTCAGGGTTTGAGTCACACTACAGTCTCATGGTCAACCTTAAGCTGATTCCGTATGGCAAGACTTTTTAACATAAATTTGGTTTCCTCTGACCATCCATAATTACGTTCCAGATATCTTAAAATACATTTTGACTAGACAAAACCACATTTTGAAAATCCGGAATGGTAATTTACGACATCTGTATTAAAATTCTGATTAGGAAGAATAGTAATTCAAGATATCTTAAATAAAATTTTGACTAGTCAAAATTCCTTTCAAGATATCTGAAATTACGACACCGGATTTGTCATTTAAAGCGTCACACGCTGATTTAACTTTTCCTCCCGTGGATAAAACTGACAGTAAGGAATTTTTTTGGAATGATGCTCCTGGAAACCCATTAAAAAGATCATTACACATTTTGACAATCAGAATCTCTAATGGAAAAGCTGAATAATTCAAGATATCTTTAATTCATTTAGAGAAATCTTAAAAGGAATGTCGAATAGTCGAAATTACGATTCAAGATATCTTTAAATGTGTTTTGTTAGTCATTATTTGCTTTTAAGATATCTATAATTTAGTTTTCACTAGTCAAAACTGCATATCTCCTATCCTTAATCCTTTAATGCCCGATCCAAGAATAAAACAAAACAGAAAATTACTTTTTTTGGTTTGAAGTCCTTATTTGGCCTTTTAACAAAATATGTAAAAAGAAAAAACAGAAATACCTTTTTGATATTAATAATTTATTACTATGCGATAAGTCAAGATTATCTTTTGTGTAGTATTCTGCCCTCTGTTATCAGGTATATCTGATTGTGTACAATAGGATTTTGAGCAAAGTTTTTACCATTAAATTATGCAAAAAGTGTCAGACGCAAAACATTTCAGAAACCGTATGTATCAAATATGATACATTTGGCATTACAGGGTTAAATACGTTTAAGATATCATGAATTATGGTGGCATTTGAGATATCTTTAATTAGAATTCTGAGTAGTCAAAACTAAAATTGAGATATCTTGAAATTACTTTATGACTAGTTGTAATTTAATCGTAGATATCTGAAATGTGTATTTCAAATAGTCAGTAATTCATTCTAGATATCTTAAAGTGACGTCTCCTTACAAGTTAATGGTAAAACTGAAGTCATTTCGACTAGTCAGAATGTAATAAGGGATATCTCGAATAGGTATTTTGACTAGTCAAAATATAATTAGAGATATCTTAAATCGCTAAAACGTCTAGTCATGAAACAATTTGACATATCTTCAATGTAAAGGCGGTACAACCGAATTTATGTTAAATCAGCTTGCTATAGACCTGGCTTTTTTTGACCCTTCTCATCTCTGATCGTTCCCTACCCATGAGCTGGAACCAAAAAAATAACGGTACTGAAGGAGACCTGGGTCAAGTGTAGTCAGTGAAAAAGGGGCATTAGTCATTAAAATCAGAACTGCACTTTAAATCTTTAATGTTGTGGTTGCAACATGATAAAATGCACACATTACAGCGCTTTGCTGCAGTTCTCAGGTCCAAAGTAGTGCATTTAAACTGGCTTCCAATGCAGCATTGAAATATCCTGATGGCTTTGCAGTAGAAAATGGTAAAAAATATTTGCTTAATGTGTATAGGGTTTTTAATTTAAGGTGAGAGTAGTTTCTGTTCTGATTATGATTCAAAACAATAAACAGTTTTTTGTTTTTTTTTTATATTGAATCACAACGTCCGCTGGGGTATGTAAACTTATATGCACATCTATAAAATAAATTTTTGAGTGAGGATTAAAAAAAAAAAGTGTTTGAAACAGGTAAGTGAAATTTCTAAATATCCCTACCAGGTGCAGGTAACCTGGGGATGTCAGGAGATTCGTCAAGGAGACTTAAGGGAGGCGGCAGCAGAGGAGAAGGGAGTGAATCTGTTGGAATGACCTCCGTCTCTTTGCTGAAGTCTCCATTTTTGGGTTGCTGTTCAACAGTAAACATTTCATTAATTAACAAAGACAAAAAGCAGAGACTGATAAGAACACAACAAACAGGGGAAGTGCAGGCCAACTCTTTTACAAAATAAAACATGCACGTCTCTCACCTCACTATTTTCATCCATGAAAACAGCAAGCTGTGTCTCTCTCTTGGCAAACTTACTGATGTGCTTTATGGGGTTGGTCAGGGCATCAGCATAATCTGAATAAAGACACACCAAAGAAACATTGGAAATTCAGTGTTTGCTTAGCTTCATCACAGTGTACCTTTATTAGTTGTTCAAGAAGACAAAAAACAACATGTTAAATAATAAATTATGCAATATAAAATACAGATGTTTGGAAAATAAGGACGTTAATATACATATGAGGGGGGCGCTAACTGTTAAGCTAGGCTAACAAACCGCTGGCTCTAAACTACTAATAAGTAGCAGGAGCTATTTTTTGTTAGAAAATTTGTAAATATATTTCCGACTGATAATCAAAGCATTTACTGCAAAATAATTAAGGGCACTAGTTAAATAATATGCAGACAGAACAATACAGTTTGTTTAAAAGTACTGGTTAGCTAAATTATAGCTAATTAGCTAGCTAAATTAAACAATTACCAAAACACAGGAAAAAAAAGGTAATTTTGTAATCTGAGCTCAGTGCTACATTTCCTCCAGCTGTATTAAGCATTGAATTGCACCAAATTATGTTAGTTTTTTTTTTTTTATGCTTTTTGCTATGGGCCAATTTAGCGTCCTTAGAACTTCATCCTTCTGAAACAGATACAATCTGATAAGGATGTCATATTGATGCAATTTAATCCAAATTGAGTGCTACCATTTAGCACAAGTTTTGAAACCATTTGGCACCTTTAAGACACAGTAGATGCTTCAGTCCAAATTGTATTTTTTATATGATTGGACTTCAAACATGGGAAGTTTATATGATAAATGTTGATGCATCTATATACAACAAGTCTAAATAGGTTGAAGTTATTTTACCCATTTCCTTTTTTATATAAATATAGAAAATTATTTTCCAAAGTATTTAAATTTGGAAGATTGTTGTTTTTAAACCCAAAAGAAATAAGTTTGGGGTATATAGATAGTTACGCTTTACGTAGACTAGGGTGACCAGACGTCCCCGATTTCCGGGGACTGTCCCCGTTTTGGACCACCTGTCCCCGGCTAAAGCTGTCCCCGGAAATGTCCCCGATTTTACCGAGGCGAAAAATGTTGCGTGTAGACTGTTATTACGGTAGAGCTGTTGCGCGCAAAAATAGGTATTAAGGTAGCTGGTTGCGCTACTGATAACATAAAGATAAGGAACAGAGCGCACCACTAGAAGGGCGGTAATGATCCTTTTGGATGTCAGCTGCCATTAAAACACAAAAAAGAAGAAGAGCGCATCACTTTTAAAACAGAAGAAGAAGTGGAAGTTCGTTTTTTACAACCTGTGGCAACTGATGGGGAGCTACGCTGAGTGATGGTAAGTGTGTTAATCAATTAATTTTATTCTGATCGGGCTGATCTTATGATACATGTTTGGTTTGTGTCCAGGTTAAAACAATAATAAAAAGTAAGACAAGACCACGAGTTGAGCATGAGTAAAAGACGCTGGGTTAAAATGTAGCAAAATGATTGAAAACTCCTTGTAAGGCGCTAATCTGGTACGCTGGTTCTCCAGGGATCAACAAGGGTTTGTATAAGGATGATTTAGAATGGATAGGTGACCTTTAGTTAATATTTCAGATAGGTATTATAAGTAGAGTTATTTCAATTTGTTTTGATGATTTATGGTTGTGATTTATGAGCATAGACTTCCAGTTTTTGGTGTGCTTTTTTACTGCTCAGTTTGGATATATATGTCAATAACAGGAGAACTGAATAAGACAAGATCTACATGATCTGAGAATGATGGAGGAAGAGATAACCACCTGTTTAATGTTCATTTATTATGTGGTTTTTGCTTGTAGCTCCTAATATTGTGGTAATTAGCATTTTTAGTATTTAGATGAGATATTAATAATAATAAGTTTTCATGTTGCACATCCTAATTTTTTTGGAGGTGATTTTGATTATATAATGTCTCTGTTTTAGAATAATGTAAGATTGATGCTGGAGGAGTGAGGAAGAAGATAGAAAGACAGAAAGGAGATTGAATGAGAGAGGAGGAAACTAGGAACTCTGATAGAAAAAACGGTTGACGATAAAGGGAGAAAAATTTACTTTGAGGAGTAAAGCAGAGAGCAGGAAACATAAGAGGAAGCCTTAATGCACAATACAGAAGCTGTGAAAAGAAGGAAATTATATATGTATATGCTATTGCTGTTTATAAATATGGACTATTCTTGGATTATATACATTGTGTTGATGTTAAGCCTATTCTGCTGTTCAATTGTTAAACTTGTTTAAGACATTTAAAAAGGTTATTTTGCTTTTTACTTGCTATGTCTTCTCTTATATTATTTTACCCAAATTACCAGGGCCACTGCCTCAGACCCTGTTCAGTTAATATTTCTGTTTCAAACATTTAAAATGTATAATATGTATTAATAAAGTTCAAGTGATAAAGCGTTGACATGATTTGAGTGATATACTAACATATTGAGTGATGTAGTGTGCAAAGTATGCTGTGGAACACAGAGTGGCTGTATACTCAGGTTAGTAGGAAAAATGAACCTGCTACTTTGAGACACACAGGCCCCTGATGTGGAACCAACTACCAGTTTTAGTCCCTGAGGCAGACACCCTGTCTACTTTTAAGGCTAGGCTTAAAACTTTCCTTTTTGATAAAGCTTCTAGTTAGAGTGGCTCAGGTTATCCTGAGCTATCTCTATAGTTCTGCTGCTATAGGCTTAGACTGCTGGAGGACATAGGGACCCCTTTTTCATCATTCTGCTTCATTTTATCTCTATTCTCCCACTCTGCAGTATCTGTTAGTTCAATCTCTAACGTTCTGCTCTCTCTGCTTTTCCTCAGAGTAGCTTTGCCTCGTCTGTTCCTGTTTGGCTGTGACGTCATCCTGGAAAGAAACATCAGCTGTGCTGCTTTCATCAACACCCTTGTTTATAGATGTTGGAGATCGGCCTGTTTTCCAGTGTGGTCCTGTTTCTCTGACCGTGACTGGGTGGATGTGCTCTCTTCATCCTCTGGCATGGGAGCTGCCTTGGAGCTCGTCTGCCTGGCTGTGTGTTTCCTGGACGGGGCCGCCTTTTACAGCTGCTTTTTGTATCTCTGCTTCTGTCTCCTTGAACCCCAGTCGGCCTCGGCAGATGGCCGCTCACGCTGAGCCTGGTTCTGCTGGAGGTTTATTCCTGTTAAAAGGGAGTTTTTCCTCTCCACTGTCGCAACAAGCATGCTTAGTGTGAGGGATTGCTGAAGAGTCAATGAGACGATGCAATCAACTGGTTTCCTTAGATAGAAAACTTTGAATCAATCTGACTGGATGATCTGGTTGAACTGTAAAGTGCCTTGAGATGACATGTGTTGTGAATTTGGCGCTATATAAATAAACTGAATTGAATTGATGTGGCTAGGTGACAGTAAGAAACATATATGAACCTTTACCTGCAGGCTTGACTACTACTTGTTTTTTTTATGTTAATGAAGAAAAAAAATATTTCTTATAGGTATGTACAGTAGATGTAAACAGAATAAGTATTTGTTGCACTTTTTTGAAGAGGTGGGGGAACTCTGTCTCAACAGACAGCCACAGGCATAGAATAAATGTTTGTATTTACTTTTCTAAATTTCTTTTCCTCATGTCACTCTCCCCTTAGGAGGCGGCAGAGCTCTTTGGGCCCGACAAAATTGGAAAGCCCGGCTAATGACCCTTGACCCGTCCGCTCCCACCCCCACCACTTTGCCCCAACCCAGAGACACAGTTCTAGTTTTCTACTAATAACACTATTCATGTTATTAATCTTAGGATATACTAAACATTTGGAAAGGCACATTCCTGGCTTTTACACTTGATTTTTGTTGTTTAAATATTAATAAATATGTAAAAATATATGAAACCATTACTGTCCCCGTTTCCTAATTTCTCGATAAGATGTATTGATTTTTATCCACAAGCAAGAAATGTCCCCAGATTTGATTTCAGAAATCTGGTCACCTTAACGTAGACTGCAAGTGTCTTACAAATACGTTATTGCAGTCTATAATGGGAAAACTAATATGTACTATTTTATTTCTAACTCAATGCAGTATATACAATTTATAAGGAGTTTGACACCTATTTAAGGTGACTTAAATTGCAGTCTGCCAAATACAGGGAAGAATCCAGTGCAGGATTTATTTTTAAAGGAAGGTTTGATGCACAGTGGTGTTTCCGGTAAACTTTATAAAACAGAAAGTAATAAAACCTGAAGTTTTTCTTGTCAAATAGCAGCCCTCCTTTAATGACACACTGCCTATTAAACTTCATCATTCCATTATCTTTACTATTACTTGTTTTCTACTTTCTCTACTTGTCTTATTTTCCTTGATTAAATATAGCAGTATCACCATCATTTAATAGATGTGCACAGTCTTAGAAATACAGAAAATAGTTTTTCTTGACCTAAAAATGAACATGTATTACTTCTGTTAGATGATTGTTTATTTAAAGGACAGGTTCTTCTGGCAGTGATATCAATTTGGCACATGTACCTTGGTGTTCATCAGGGATAAAGTCCTTGGCTTCAATCTCAACCAGCAGAGAGGGCAGGAAAAGTGGCTGATTAAGCTCATTCTTTAGGCTAATGTAGTGGTAACCTGAAAAGAAGACATAGAAAACAAATGAAAAACAATAACAAAATCAATATTAATTAATGACAGGAAGAGAAAATGAATAATCAATTAATCTGTCAATTATCTTTTCAATTAATCGATCATTCGGATAGCAAAAGGTTAGTTAGAGAAGATTTTTTTACGGAATTAAACCAGGGGAAACTAAAACTTTTCCACCTGTGAGATCTGGATAAAGCATATTGACAGAGAAAAAGGTTTTTTTTTTGTTTTTTTTTTTTTTATCTTAAATGCAAAATATTTATATATATTTTTGGTTTTGGTATAATTTTTGCTCAAATTGGGTTTCCTGTCAGCTAAATTCATGTTTAAGAGTCTCCATACTCCAGTTAACGATGAATCCTTTTTTTTCTTTACATGCCTAATCCCAAGTGGAGTCGCGATGGGTGCTGGTGCCCATCTCCAGCTGTCGATGGTCGCCAGTCCATCACAGGGCAACATAGAGACAAACAGGACAAACAACCATTCACACACACACTCACACCTAAGGAGAATTTAGAGAAGCCAATTAACCTAACAATCAAGTTTTTGGACTGTGGGAGGAAGCCGGAGTACCCGGAGAGAACGCATGCATGCTCAGGGAGAACATGCAAACTCCATGCAGAAAGACCCAGGACCGGGAATCGAACCCAGAACCTTCTTGCTGCAAGGCAACAGTGCTACCCTAAATTAGTTGACGATTATTTTAATATTTGATGTTTCAGCCCTATTTCACATATATTAATGGCAGTTAGCTTACCGGGTCTGATGGCAGACACAGGGAGAATCCGGTGTCCAATAAACTTGCCATTTTCCTCAAAAACAGCTATCCTCAGCGAGGCCAGTGAAGGAAGCACCACCTGGAACATTTAGAAACCAACACATAAATTTGAAATGTGTGACAGATTAAATGGGAGTAAAAGATTTATCAAAGAAAAAAAAGTGGTGCTCTGTGAGCAACCTTATGGAAAGTGGTGCTTTCATCTTCCCACACAGGGTCCAGGGAGTTCCCATTGGAGGTCTTTGTTCTGAACTTCCTCTTTGTATCGGCTGGAAGTCCAAACATGTCCACCTCCACGTATACACCCACCTTTTTCTCTGTCAGAAACTGACCTGAGAGCACCTGGTGGATGTGAAGCGCCACAGTTACAGCACGGGCTTTTTCAATCAGCCAATAAAAAAAAAAATGACACCTTGGTTTGTACCTTAACGGTGATTTTATTGGCAACGATCCCATCCACTATACCTTCCGTAAAGGGATCAAACTGTTTGTCCGTCCTCCTCATGAACTCTGGCTTCAGCAGATAGCCGCTGTGGCCATTATACTCAAATACACCCATGTTCAACTGCATAGGAAGGTCTGCATGAGAACAAAAAAGAAGAAGAGGGAGAATATTCCTGTAAACAACTCCCTACATATTTTTGGTGTAGTATAGACAAATAAATGGTGATAAATTCCTCTTTAATAGCAGCAGTACAACATCACACTAAAAAATACTTTAGAAAAATAAAAAATTTATGCATAGTACATTAATTCGGTAGGGGAAAGGCTTTAAGAAGTATATATTTTTTAAAAACAGACATTTTAGGATAATAAAAAAAAGAGGAATCTTTTACATGACTCCTTACAGAGCTAAAAGAACAAAAAAAGCCATAGATCTCCAAATACCAAAACTATAAACACTGCATAGGGTTTTTAAATGATTCCTTAGTTGGTTTTCACTTTTTTAGGAACCTTAAAATAAGCAAAGCTGCTTTTATATGACACAAAAATGAGGGCAGCATGTTTGAAACAGCGCTCTACTTTAGATGAAGTGAATATATAGGATATTGAGAGGCTTTTTTGATTTGATGTCCCACTGCAGCCTTGTCCACATGACCTTCAGGTCCACATCATCCCAGATTCACCAATTAATCCTTGTATTGGGGTGTTTGCTGACGAACACCACAATGTTAGTCATATCTGACTAAAGTCTAAGTCCCAGCAGAATGTCCTCCAAACCTACAACCTTGTTTCCTCTTCAACATGTTTTCAAAGTGTTTTTACTGCCGTCAGTTGACAGGTTTGGTAAGTGCTGAAGCAGTTGCCTATTTATGGAGATTTTTTCTTTCATGTAATTCTCATTTTAGTATAAAACAGAAACTGGCTTCTCTAGGATGACAAAACAAATAATTAATACAGCGATTTTACTGATTTTTTTTGTGCGGCTGCTGCTGAGGTTATAAAGATGTGTTAAAGAGCCACACAAACCAATTTCTCACCAAGAGTCTGAAAGTTCAGCGCCACCATCTGGCAACCGACGTTCCAGAAGACCTGAGGCATATAGTTGGAGCTGTCCACCCTCGTTCCTTTGGGGTAGATCCTGCTCAGCTGGTTCTTATTGTATCTGGGAAAGTGCTGTGAAGGATCACCATGCTGTACAGATGCAGGGAGGAGCAACATCTGTAGGTTCTATGCATCACATGCTGGAAGCAGTTCCTGATGGTGTTCAGACTGATCTTTGCTCCAAACTTAGTCTGCCTTTTAACAAAAACTAAAAACACATGGATCAGATAATTGAAATATTATTTATTTATAATTTAGGATCTGATTTATTTGCCTAATAATTCCTGAAACCAGCTGATCATCTATATGGGTTCATTTGGGACCACATGGTAAAGGGATTTAGGTTCTATAGATCTTTTTTTTCAGAAACAATCTCTCCTTCAAGCTTTTAAGGATACTCAACAAACTCAATGGGGGAGTTTTTCAGGGCGTCCATTCCTTTGGTTTCCACAAATGAAGACATCTCAAAGTACTTCCTCCTCTCTGGAAAAGGAGGAGTAAAAAAAAGGAAGTTTGTGAGAATAACATTAGAAACTGGCAATGAAAAGGAAGAAAACAACATGATAATAGTAAATCTGTTTGAAGTCATCTTTATTCCACGTTGTCTGTAAACACACTTACTAGCTGCTGCCTCAAAGCTCTTAAATTTCACAGGTTCGATGTAGTTGACCAAAGTGGACATCTCCTCAGTGGCGTTCACCTCACTGCTGGCTGTACCCTGAGGAGAGAAGATGGCTGTTATCCACCAGCAGAGATACTCAAAGGACCCAGCAGTCCTCTCTAGTGCCTCTTACCTCGTCAGAAGTGGGCTTTTTAAGCTCTTGCACTGGTTCATCATCTTCCTCATCATCACTTTCTCCTTCACCTCCTACCAGAACAAGTTAAATACATCAAGAAGAAAAGATACTTGTATCCACTGGTTGAATCTATTGGATTCTGTTGGCACCTACCCAGGGACTTGCGAGGTCCCACGTCTTTGATGGCCCTTTCTGCCAGTTTTTGCTCGCCGTTGGAGAGGAGATGCTGTCCCTCTCTGTCTGTGAGGGGACAATCTGCACAGAGAACAGCCGGATGTCAGCTTAAACACCACTGCCACAACCTTAAGGAGCCAAACCTCCCTGTAACCTTTCAAAGTGATCCTAATCTAAACTTTTCTGCAGATCCAAGTTTGTTTTTTTTAATCTTCCCTGTTACCCATAAAACATGCTTCAGTTTTTCTTACCATCAGAAATTAATCCAATTATGTATAAATTCAGAATTTATTAGCATTTTTTTTCTAAAATTACTGAAGCACACTATGAAACTAAACCAAAAAAAGCTGCACTTTAAAAAATACAATTGTCTAGAGCCGTTTGAAATAAAAATTTCTTTTTGTTTACATTCGTGTACACAAAATATCAAAATAAATCTGTCCAAGTCTCAAAGTCTAAGTAATACTTTCATGACTTCTTTCACCCAATATGGGTGGTTATGCCTTGTAGCTAATTAAAACCTCCAATTATATTAATCAGAGAACTGGATTATAAAAAAAAAAAAAAATTTTATTGTTTCAAAAGCTTTACACTTATAATATTTTAAATTATTTGGATTAATGCCCGGCTGCTCAGTGGGTAGCACTGCTGCCTTGCAGCAAGAAGGTTCTGGGTTTGATTCCTGGCCCGGGGTCTTTCTGCATGGAGTTTGCATGTTCTCACTGAGCATGCGTGGGTTCTCTCTGGGTACTCCGAATTCCTCCAACAGTCCAAAAACATGACTGTTAGGTTAATTGTATTCTCTAAATTCTCCTTAGGTGAGTGTCTGTATGAATGGTTCTTTGTGCCATTTGTCTCTGTGTTGCCCTGCGATGGACTGGCGACCTGTCCAGGGTGTACCCGGCCTCTCGCCCATTGGCAGCTGGAGATAGGCACCAGCAGCCCTCGCGACCCCACTTGGGATTAAGCGTGTTAGAAGATGGATGGATGGATGGATGGATGGATGGATGGATGGATGGATGGATGGATGGATGGATGGATGGATGGATGGATGGATGGATGGATGGATGGATGGATGGATGGATGGATGGATGGAATTAATACCCAAGTTTTGGCTTTGGCATTAAGTGTGTCAGCAGAGGGAGAAGTGAAGTTCTCTAAAACGCCCTGATCTGTCCTCTGCTGACCACTTAAGGCAGCAGATGACATGGCTCCAAAAACCATTACAGACTGGAAACATCACTCTGGACCAAGAGCAAATAATATTTTCTGTCTTCCCACTCTTCTTTTAGACTCTGGGATTCTAATTTAATCTCAGCTGTTTTAAACTAAAATAAGTGCTTTTAAATAGCAGGCAAAGATTGTTCCATAATCCCCTGCTCCTCAGGTTGTAACCTTCTTATTTCTCAAATTCAAAAGTAGTTTGTTTTGTTACGCTTTGGGATCAACAATGTATTTTTGAATTGTATTGATACGTGTTGCTTGTTCCCCGATTTCGCCCACACTCTTCCTTCCACTCAACTTTTCATAAACTGTACTCGGATACAATAGGCTACTCTGAACAGACAGCTAATTTAGCAATGATATCCTTGCGACAGCTTGATACATGTCGATGAACGCAGTCTTTGGTTGTGTTGGTGGAAGAAAAAAAAAAACAGTCCTACCATTACCAGGAGGCGACTGCTCCCCAGGCTCTTTGCGGCGTATGCTACCGCCCTCTGCAGAGTGATGATGATGCTTCTTCTTGTTTTTGATAAGGATCTTTCCCAGCATTTCTTGCGGTGAGGGAAGCGGCTGACCTGGGACCAGCTAAAAGCCATAAAGATGGTAAGTGGTTATGTTTCCCAGCCAGGGCAGAAGGATACTGCAAGGCTGAGTATCTACACTAGATTAATAATTAGAAAAATAGACTGCTTAGCTTTTAAATAGATCAGGCAAGCCCAAAGTGTTGTAACTCTCTGAACTAAAGTCATCAGTTTTGCTTGTTTGGAACATCCATGACTGTTTCTTCTAGATGTCACTGGAGTTAATAAATTTTCTTGGAGCACAGGCCTAATCTTTTTGGCAATATTTTTGGTTTAGCTAGGAAAATAATGACACACCTATCCCCATGTCTGTGACGGTTTATTTCCCTAAGCAGATCCTTAACAACTAATGCATACCCTTTTTCACCTCAGCTGTGGTAAAACCTTTGTTTTGTATGAGTTGATGCATTTTAGGAACAAATCAGCCATAAGTTTAAACTATTGAGATGTTTCCCTCAGAGATTTAACTATAGAAAGTGAAAATATATTCATGCAGAAATGTGACTTAACCAAATGTGGCGTTTCTATAATATTCGTATATCCTTAATGTAAATAGATCACTTTTCACTGTATCATCGCTTATTTTTTTGTTCCATAATCAAAATGTCCATTTCTCTATCTGAAGCCCATATTCAAAAGTAAAGTACAATTAAAGAACCATATGCTCTATTAAACAATTCAACTTGATTTAAGTCCTACTTGTAAAAATAGTGTATGAAAATGTATGTAATATTTTCAGTTGTAAAATTCTCCTATTTAAATCCCTTTGCCAACTTAATTTTAGATGACAGAACAGGTGATGCTTTGTTTCAAGATCTGCTAAATTTATTGATCCAATTAAATCAGATGCTCTGGAAGATGAATAAAAAGCAGAGTCTTACCGGGTATTTCTCCAGTGGGTCAATGAGGAGGGCATCTCCAAAGATTGTCCTGCAGTACTCAGCCATCTTGGCCTGCTGTTTAGCTCTAGAATGAGAGAAAAGTTTAAGAGCAATAGTGATGACCAACATTGGCACCTGCAGTGTGTGAGCTGGACTCACGAGTCAACGTGGTTTTCAAAAGACAGGATGAGAGGGTAAGGGGAAGTCTTGAAAGCGCTCTCTGCTATCGCTTCAATCACCTCCTGCACAACCAGACAGAAAGAGGACTTTTAAAACAGATTTAAAAAATGACTTTTCTTTTCATGCAGATCATGAAAACTATTGAAAAACAAATATAGAAATAAAATTATATACTGAAATGAGTAGATATTCTGCTAATTCTAAATGAGGAATGCTAATGAACATGAGAAATATTATTACAAAAATTGACTAACCACCTCACAGAATATGAAAAACCATTCAGAAGTTTTCTAAAACATCCAGCTGTAGAGCAGGGAATGGAATACAGCATACAACTTGGTATATTCAAAAAGAATAATAGAAAACCTTAAATACACAACACATACTATTGCTTATACCCAGGCATCACAGTGTTATCTCAACATGTCTGCATAAGAAGATTCACGACGTCTCGACATTTGTGCACATTAAGACGTCTTAGAACAACTTAAGACAAAAATCTGAGGATATGCAGCCATGTCTTATGATATGGAAGTGCAGAACATTGGATGCTCTCAGACATGACTTTCTGTCTTAAAGATGATGACTGTCTTCAGACCTAATATGACAATTTATTGTCTTAAGACCTTCAAATCTTAAGGTACCATTCGTAGCTTGTCTTCCAAAACATGGTCAAGCTTGTTTCAACAGCTTTACACTTATAATTTTTCTTATCATGGATAAACTATCCCTGATATGCAGAGGAATTCTATGTAGTATTTCTATATCTATAGGTTGCATTTATACAATCAGAGTTTTTTTTTTTTTTTACATCCAAATATTTATGTTGGAGTTTCATAAATAAACAGTTTACAATTTGAACCTGTGTGATTTTGAACTTAGAAATATTTTTATTTAAACTTGTCTTCTGGATAGCTAATACACCCACACTTTAACGTTGAGTGTTTCTGACACCTTTAGGACTACAGTAGTCTCTTTGCTTGAAGCTTTACATTTTAAGTACAATGCAAACAAAGCATCTTTTAAACCACCTCCAAGATGAAAAGCAGAAAGTGCTAATCAAAAGAAATATGCATGACCAATGCTTTCTATAAAATAAGAGTTGTTTGAGGCTAAAATAGTCGATTTGGTTTCTGTTTAGCCACAAAATGTGGGAATCAAAACAGCAACCAGTGACAATTGTTTTCTCTATTCTAACATTCCATAAGGTTTTGCTGGAAACATTTAGCATATTTGCCAGCAATGATTGGCAAAAAAGAAAGTTAGGGATGCACGATATTGGGATTTTGGCCGATATCCGATATGCTGATATTTTAAAACTCATGTAGCCGATAACCGATATCGATACCGATGTTAAAGCTGGACAAAAAAAAGCAGTCATTGAAAATAGCAGTTTTGTTATCCATTTCTGACACTTTGAAAAATAATATACTCAAATTTATTTTCATATGCTGATATTAAATTGATTTTTAAAAACGCGGTATCGATCTATTTTACTTTCAAAATCTCGTGAAATTTCATCATTCTGTTACAAACTCTCGTGATATTTTGCAAATTCTTGTGAAATTTTGTTAGTAAAATAGATTGATACCGCGTTAATATATCAACATATAAAAATATGGCAAAATTTCGTGAATTTTCGGGGGATTTCGTAGCATAACGATGACATATAGCAATATTTCATTAGTAAAAGAGATTGATATGCTGTTTTTAAATGGCAATATATCAGCATATGAAGATATTGTGATATTTTTATGTATCAATATTTTTTCCCTCGTCTTTAGAAGTTTGTCTGTAAAAAAATAAGTTTTTGAGGAAGAAGAAGAAGAAGTATTTCTTTTTTTTTTTAGACTTTAGAAACTCAGAAGCGATCAAATATCGGGTTAAATATCGGTGGGGTGGCCGATGTCCGATATTCAGTTTTAAGGCCGATACTGATAGGGGGCCGATTATATCGTGCATCCCTAAAAAAAAGTTTGTGTAAATGTTCCAGCAGACTGATAAGAGACGTATTAGCACCTTAAAGGAGATCTCAGTGGTCATGGTGAAGCCGTGGGTGATGTAGGGCTCCTCGTCCGGCGGTCGGCCCTTCCAGCAGTCTAGCTCGATGCAGCGACAGCCGGTGAGCAGCACCTGCCTGTACATCTCCACCGACGACATCCCCGTTAGCTGACCCACTACAGACAGGATGACACACAGCCACGTGTTACACAAGCAGCAGGTGGAAAATTAAAACTTTAAGCTTGAGATGCTGCTGGAGAGCTTTTTTACCTGTGAGGTATGTGTTATGAGAGGAGTTAATAAAGTAGTGAGCCAGCGGCTGGTTCATGTCGTCGATGAGGTCAAGCCTTTCTGGAGGTACGATGCCATTTTCATCACCGGCGAGATACCGACTGAAAGCCTGCAAACTGATCTGGTCTGCAAGAGAAAGCAGGACAGACTAGGGTTATTTTGATCATTTTACAAAACAATCTCTATACCCAACTGATTCAGGAGGAGGGGCTAAAATGCACATTTCTTTACCTGTTTGTATTCCTGCTAATAAATCACCAATATTTAGATCATAAATTATTTTCTTACCAAGTTATACGTTTGATGTAGACGATACTAGTTTATCGTCTGAGTTGAGGAGCATTAACCCCTTAACAGCTGGACTCAGCTAAAAGCTTTTAGCCCTTTAAATGTGGGAGAAAGCGTTGCATTGAAAGTGCTCTCCTGTCATTAAATAAGGTCAATACTAGGGTCATAAGATAATCGGATACTAATGTTTAAAAATAAAGCCGTTTTTTTAAAAAAATTCTCCAACATGCTCTCTAGCTGGTTCATTTTTTTTTGCCCATACCGAACCTGGAAGTCTGATGTCACTCAAGAAGGTTGGCTCGCCAACATGCCGGATATTCACACTGGAACGGATAGCGATAGCGCCAAAAGTACTTATGAATCTTCTTCAAGTGAGCATATTTAAACAGAGGATGAACAGAATCCAGTACATAAAACAGGTCCTGCGCCTGCTGTCCCACATGTTTGAGCCTGACGCCTCGTCAGACGGGGAAAATGATTGGCCCTTAAAAGGCCACTCAAAGAGCCCACTGCCTTCTGGAGGGCAATGCCCTGCTACACATCTCTGTCATTGCAGACAACAGCAAAACACTGTTGATCAAAACCCAAACATGCTCTCTATAGCTCCTGTCAGAACAGAGCCGATCATCTGGTGCAGCTGAAACATTCGGAGGCTAAGGCCGTTGCTTTGGCACATTCTCAGATTTGGCTTAATGATCTGATGAAATCTTTTTGCCGTTCATAAAAACAACCGTCCACTTCTTTCTGTAAAAAAAATGAGAGCTCCATTCCTCTTATTTGCTAAGTTTTCATCCCATCTTTAAGCCCTTGTTGGGCAGTGGATGTTTAATGGGTTTATAGGCAATTCACTAAATATTAAAGAGGCCTACTCATATGTTTATACTGTAGCTCAGTTTCCTTGTAGACAAACAGGACTCAGCCATTATCATGTTACATAATGCTTCAATCTTTATGAAACTGCAGATTTTTCTGAATACTAGAAGGAAAGTCACAGAACATGAAGGAGAGCGTTTTTTTTTTTTAAATCTCTTCCCAAATAAATACTCCTAGATTTTAATTTTATTTTTAATTATTTCATAGTAGAAACTCTGTAGACAAAGGTTTAGTAGAATGGAAGCTAATATCTAACTCAGCTGCTCGGTAATGTCTTCAAAGATGCAAAAATTAAAATTTTGGCTGATGTTCAGAACAGAAGAGATATAACCAAGATTTTTTTTTTTTATCAGTTTTATAACTTATACTGCTTTAAAAGATTGCTTAACCATCTGTTTATCTTCAATCCACCAATAAAGAGAGGGGGGCACACTGTGAATCTAAAGTCAGCAGAAAACTATATTTTTTTACACAGCTGCTGTCATTTAATAGAAATATTTAATAAAAGGAAGGAAAAAATTCCGCGATAAAAAGAGCACCACTAGCTCTGAGTATAACGGAGAGCTCCTAACCTCTCTCCAGCTGGCTGGTGTTGGTCTCATATTTCTCCATGATCTGTCGAACCTGCTCACGCTTCAGTGGGGGGTACAGCACCTCATTCAGCCTGGAGTCTCGCTGCATGTGGTTGATGAAGTCCATGAACTGGTCCAGCGAGAGGAATGGTTTCCTCTTAGAGCCGCTGGAGGAGAGAGAGAGATAAAACTTTTTTTCAGCTAGGAAAAGCGGAAAAAAGAGGTTCTTAAAGGGAAAAAAAGTAAATACCATTTCTCTAAGATGGTGTGCAGTTCAGGTCGGTGACACAAGCTGTCTAGAAACTTGAGGAAAACCTCCCACGTGAAATCCTCTAGTTTTACACCTTCAGACTGGAGAGAAAAGACAGAGAAGGTAGGGATGGAGGTTAATAACAAAAACACTGAAGCTTTTTTCCCTCGATTTCAGACAGAAAAATCAGACTAAATTTCTCTGCTTTAGGTCACTTAGTGAGCACTTAGCAACACACACTAGTTTATTGAATCAAATCAAGTGGAATATTCCTCAATAGCAAAGTCAGTCACCTGATCTTAACCCAATCAAGCCTGCAGTTCGCTTGTTGGACGCTGAATGTCAGTAAATGCCAGTAGTAAAATGTACGTATGACCATTTTATTTTGCATAATACATTTTAGGGGACAGAAATGGAGGGATTGTGTTTGAGGAAATGTTTCAGCCTCTTAAATTTTGATGCTGTTTTCTTTTTTTATACAAACTACTGAAATAAAGATGTAAGTCTGCACTTTAACTGAAGGCTTTCAGGTAAAATGAACTGTGATGATGTGAAGAAACGCTACAAGAAACAAGTCATCTCCATTTAAATGTATTATATGGGCCTGACTTAATTCACAGGTGCACTACAAAAAACGTCATTTTTTTCTTAAAATAAGTGCATTTTTTCTTGAATTGAGGAGGTAAGTGAAACACTTTGGCAAAGGAACAAGACAATATACATTTAAAATAAGAAAAAACAATTGCATTGTAATAATTTTAAGTGCATATTTTATAATTATCATATTTCAAGAATAAAAACACTTATTCCTTTGGCAAATCATCTTATTTACCTGCACAAATTAAGGGTAAATACACATAATTTAAGACATTTTTACTTATTTCTAAATCGGTTTTGCAGTGTGCTGCTCAGATCGGTTAGTTGATATGTTGGGCTGATATAATAGCATTTTTTTTAGTATTGGTATCGGCCGATAGATGCATATGGAAGCCGATTAATTGGTGCATTCAACAGCCATGCCTTGAGATCATATGAGGCGCTGGATGTGAAAATCAACTTTGATCTCAGGTTTGCTTCGGTGGAGCGGTGGTTAGCGGTAACGACTCATGCACGGAGGCCTTAGTCCTCGATGCGGCTGACCCGGGTACGAATCTGATCTGTGGTCCTTCGCCGCATGTCTCTCCCCCTCTCTCATAGCCACTTTCCTGTCAATCTACTGTCGGAAAATATGAGCCACTAGTGCCACAAAAAAAAAAAAAAAAAAAAAATGTTAATCTTTTGTTTCAGTTGAGACGTGTGCTATCAGTGTTCTTTAATCATGTAAACAGACAAAGCAAAATGGGGTTCAAAATCCCCCCACACAAAAAAAAAAAAATAAATTACATTGGCAGCAGACATTGGGGATGGGTTAGACTGATGTAGAAAGACATTTGGTATTAACATTAGCCTTAGTAAAAAGTGGTTAATCCTTAATCCAAGAACCAAAATTTTTGAATCCACAGCAATCCTGCTTTGGTAAACTCCCGCCTTCCTCATTATTCAGTTAATTTTAAAAATAAGGATCATTTTGGCACCACATGGTAACAAAAATAGGGGAAAAAAGCAATTTTCAAATGTGAAACCATGAGATAAATTTTCATCTGTTTTTATGCAGTGACTATAAATATGTGACATCAGAGGCTGGTATCTAAACATTTGAATCTTATTTTTATTTTTTTAAATATAACATCATCATTAATTATTTTTTTTAAATGTTCTCTAAAATATCTTACATTTGTTTGTCTTAGGTTAAGCTAATGGGAGGAATAATTCGGTCAATTAAAGTTGTAATTATAGTGATGGTCATGGCTCCACGTCACAAAAAATGTTTTCAATTTAAACACATCCAATATTTAAAAAATAGCTTTTTCAAAAAAAGTGAAGAAAAGCTGTTATCTTATTCCCATCTTAAACATTTCAATCTGATGTCCTACAGGTGGCGCCAAAGTAAAGTAAAAAAAACCACACAGCTCAGCTTATTCCTGTTTCGATTCTTTGTGAAGAAGTTAAAGTCTTGTGACTTGAGTTGCAGTGCAGATTGTGGTGATTATTCAGCACATAAGAAAGCTGGCTTCAACTTAAAGTGTGCAACACTGAGATACTGTGGAGAGCGGAAACACAGCGGAGGAGTGGTTTCCAAACATTTTTCAGCTTTCGGCCCACACGGCAACAGAGGCAGATGCATGCAACCCCTGGGAGATATTGGTCGAACTGTGCAGAAAACAGTGGCTAACATGGAACTAAACAAAAAAATTATTATTTTAACCTTTAGTTGTTGTTTTTTTTTTATTCCAAAGCAAAATACGGGAGCTTGCCAAAGTCTACATAAGGGTTACAAAACCATGTCTGTGTGTCGTAGAAAAAAAAGATCATATTGAAGTATTTCAAAAACTGTTACGACATAAATATTTTGGGTAATTCCCGTGAATGAAAAAAAAAAACTGGAATTAGATATAAATGTCAAGCTGTTTTAAAATAAAACTTAATTCAGTGCGTGCAGTGGCGCAGTGGTTAGTGCGCACGGCCCATGTACAGAGGCCTTAGTCCTCAACGCATGTCTCCTGCTCTCATACCTCCTTTCCTGTCAGCCTACTTTTGAAAAAGCAAGCCACTAGTGCCGTAGACAACTACAAAAAAAAAATAGAACTTAATTCAGGCTCCTTCAGAATCTGGTCTTATTCAATCTTACACACATGGTATCAGTTGCACTCAATGCAAGTAAAGCTCCCATAGCAGAATCTGCCCCACATTTGCTTGCATGCATCCTTCAGCTAAAGTCACGGTTTGCCGACTGGTTACCCAGGATCAGAAGGATCTCATTGTACAAGGATATCAGTCAGGAGAAGAAAAAAAATACGTCCACAGTGTATAGAACTGAGAACTATAACTCAGGATAAACATCAGCTAAACTTTCCTAAATGGTTTATAGATGTCACTTATGAAAATAATAATCTGGGAATCAAGAATCTTTAAAAACATCAGATTTTTAAGGGAATTAAAGGAGCCGTAATATACAATACAAACCAGGCTAAAATGTTTGTTTTGTAAGGGACTAAAACAAGAAAGTAATGTTTTCTCTTCAGCTTTTAAATGAGTTCATTTCATTGTATTTCTCTAAAGTTGTCATTTTTAAAAGCAAACTTCACTGCATAGCCTAAAGGTGTGATTCCCACTTACCAACACCTCTGTCCACCAAAACTTTCATCAATCACTCTGTTTTATTTGTAGAAATGAGCCTTCGGTCATCACAACCAGAAAAAACTGAGACAGATTTCTTGAGCTCCATGATCCATGGTCACACAGAGTCCTCTTAAACCTATAAGGAACCATTCCTGCCAGTTCAGCGGGTCGGGCTTATGAGAGCAGATAAACAGGAAGAGGCTTTATTTGACAAGAGCAGCTTAGTCATCTGTAAGGTGAACACCAGAAACTAGATGCAGTTCTAGCATGAACCTTCTGTCCAGCCCCACAGACTCCCCCACTACCCTGACGGTAGAAAATCAACATTTTTCTCCAAAAAACAAACAAATAAAAACCCAAATTGTTTGTATTTAGGCTTCATATGACTGAACCCAACGATTGCCTTAAAACAGCATTGGCCTCCTGCCATTCTATGAATATCAGGATGAGTTATTACAACACTAATAAGGGATTTATACAAAACTTTCTAGCGTTATAATCCCATTTTTTGCAGTTAACCCAACTCAGCTGTGTGAATGTTTATGGATCTGGGCCAACTTAGATCTACTCCATCTAAAAGTATGTAATGCAAATAGTTCTCAAATAAGGCTCAGATTAGCTTACACCAAGTCCAGAGTCTTTACGGGAAAATTGTCAACTGATCATCATTATTTTGTTAGTGTAGTGAAAATCTAAAACAAAGGAAGGCTGATGCATCTGAATCAGAACCTGACTTGGAATCACAGAGGGCCTCACATGTCAACAATACCAAAGGAACCCCCTCATTAAATATTGAATTCCTCCATTATCATCAATATAACAAATTAAGTGTTATCTATTTCTACCTTATTCATAGTATGTTTTTTTTTTACTTTTAAGGTTTGCCGAGAATGTACCTGTATGCAACAAAAAAAACAGATAATCCTATTTGCGTGTACAAACCAAAGCTTATTTTTCGGTTAGAGATAAGAGATCCAATAATGACCTTGTTGTTGAGGAGGCCACACTGTTCCAGAGTCGTCTCCACTCTCTTCTTATCAGAGAACATCTTCAGGATGCTGCAAGGCAAAAACAAGAGCTGGTTTTGTTGAGGAAGTTTATTTGTCATCTTCACTTTATGTTGATTTAAAAAAAAAAATTCAGCTTATGTATTCCTATACAAAGATTATTAACTTATAAAGATAACCTTGGTAAATTATGTTTTCAATTGTTAAGAGATACATCTATTCAAACTAACAAGTGTCTGAGTCGCCCTTCAACCGATGAATCTTCTAAATCAATGTGTAGGATTGCTGGCGCAGCCTATTTCACAGACTTGCAAACAAGTCAGAATGAAGGACTTTAAAGAGTATAAGTTCAGATTCAGGTCATACCACTGCATCTCAACTGTGTTTTACAAAAGACTTTGACTAGACCACTCTGAACCTTTCGTTTCTATCTTTTCAGCCGTTCAGAGGTGGGCTTGGATCACTGAGATTCTGCAAAAGACCAGAACCTATGAATACTGTAACTGCAGCCAGTTATCCGGGTCATAAAGAAGGCCTAGACCATCATACTACCACCACTACCATGCCTTAGTATTTATATGACTGATTTTTTGAAATGCACTCTTAGTTTTATGCATCAGGACACATATCTTTCAAAAAGTCCCTTATTTGATTAAATGTCTGGGATCATTTAGGTGATTTTGTATCTTATTGGTGTTTTTGATCAGCAGAGGTCTACACCTTGGATCAACCCCATTATGGATGTTTGGGCTCAGTGTCTCTCTCTCTCTCTTTGTTGAATCATGAACTTGACCATGGCTGAAGTAGGTGAGGTCTGCTGTGATGCAGTTGTTCTGGGCTCTTTACTAATCATTAGAATGAGTCATTAATGCGCCGTGTGACTTATTTCGATGGACCGACCACTCCTCTGAAGGTCATAAAACATTACAATAGGTTTAGTAATCTTTTACAGACTGTCACATGTAAATGATTCTTTTTCCCATCTGTTCCTGATTATCCAGAGTTCATGAACTGTTTTCCTGAGATCTGTCAGGAGATTTAAGCTCATCAGACCGGTTTGATTTAATGGATTTCATGATTCTACAGTTCTGATAGTAATGACGCTTGAATGTGACAAGTGAAATTGAACACCCAACTCCTTTCACCTTAACAAAAAAAAATAAAAAATTTTCCCTATCGTTGGCGATTCATTGTCCAATAAAGGGAAAATTTCTTGAAAAAAAATTTTTGTTGTTTTTTTTTTAAACCAAGTTATTTTTTATTGATAGTAATTTATTGACCTGAGATGTGTGTGGAAATTGTAAAGAGGCTTTAGCTCACCACTTCAGAGGAACCTTCCCATCCGGACCCACTTGAAGTTTTATTTTAGTGTACCTGAAATAAACCAGAGTGCAAGTGTCAATAAGAATAACTAAAAACAGTGTTCCTCATTTCACCTGTAAAGAATCTACATATCACCAGAGTTTTATGCTATTTTAAATACAATAAGTAAGGAAGGAAGGAAGGAAGGAAGGAAGGAAGGAAGGAAGGAAGGAAGGAAGGAAGGAAGGAAGGAAGGAAGGAAGGAAGGAAGGAAGGAAGGAAGGAAGGAAGGAAGGAAGGAAGGAAGGAAGGAAGGAAGGAAGGAAGGAAGGAAGGAAGGAAGGGGTCTTACGCTTTGAGAAGGTAGGTGTTCCTGGATGCATTGTGGGAGAGGATGTTTGTAGCCAAGGAGAAAAGCTCCTCTGTCCATAACTGAAAAGGAACATACATGATGACAGAACATGTCGTAAAGCTAGAAGACAGACTCGACACACGACAGGAAGGGATTTCTTTAAACAACTGTTTCAACTTTATCAAGTGTGTCATCAGCATATGGTCAAAGGGGGGGAGGAGGAGTGACAGGAAGATGGATGCTCAGTTCTAGGATTACCTGTGTGGTTTCCTCAGAAAGACCCAGCAAGCAGATGAAGGAGATGTTGACCAGATCGTTTCCATAGACGATGGTTAGCAGCTTTAATTCACTGTCCCCTTCACCACAGCGCATCTGCTCCCATAGCCTGGCATCCTGATAAAAGAGCAAAATGGCTTCAGTTATCATAAAGAATCCAACAACTATCTATGACTGAGGAGGACAAACTGTGTCTGTGTCTTCAGAGAGTAAATTTGATGCATGAGGCTCTGCACTCTAAACTAATTAACTAAATGACTCTTTCCTCCTTTTTAGCCTACTGACTCCCTCTGATACTCTGCATCCGTTTCTCAATTATGGATCATTCTTCCTCAGAGACGTCTCATATTACAGAGCAAGGTTAAGTAGGACTACCTCCTTAGGAAAAAGCTCCAACTTTCCAAATTCTGGTCACATTTCTAAAATTGGACATCAGAATTAAAGTTCAATTCACATATGTAGACTAGTGCAGTGAATTCATGTGTGTGTAACTTTTTCAAACCACCTTTTTCCCTTCCATTAAACTTTACATAATATGCTTTTGATTTCAGGCCTTTTCTTAGAGTGTGTCACTGACCAGTGCATGTCCAAAACAACACAATTTCCATTAAAAATCCTTTCCTTTGATCAAAATGAGTTTCCCTTTTTTAATTCATTGACATAAACTCTCCAAGTACATTTGAATCCATTTTTATGCACCTATACTATAAATGTATTGCAGGTTAGAGAGATCTGAGAGCTAAACCAATGTTCACAGAAAAAATATAGATTAGTGGACGGCCCTGTCCTTCAGGAACTTCAGATGAAAGATAGATTCAAAGATATAACTGGTTTACCGAGGCAGGTATTCAAATCTGTGGCACAGCAGGGCATTATGGGACAGAACTTCCTCATGAGGGAACAGGATTTTTTCTGTGGTGAGAGACAGTTTTTTCTTTATGTGTGAGCCCTAAATTCACTGGAAGATTTTCATATTTGCTCCCATTTATGTTTGCGGTTGTTTTTCAAAACAGCTGATAAAGAATTTTACTACTTTAGTAGCACAGAGCAGAAAGTCAAGTTATAGCAGAACGAAGATAGCGAGTTTTAGTCAAATATTAGTTTATTATTACACTAATAAAATAGTTTCATGGATGAAATGTTGAAGTGTGATATTTTTCAACTATTTTAGTTAAATGCCTGTCTCTACACTCATACCAATACTCCAGAATTTTTAGTTTTTTAACTTCTTACATAACTTTAGCCATTATGGGGTGTTTTTTTCTATAGAAAAAAAAATAAATAAGTAAAAAACATCCTATACCTGCAGTTTATATCTGTGTTTATTGGTTCGAATTTAAAAAGTAGAAGCAGAGCAGATTTTGATCTGAGATATTCTGGTGTAAAGTCTATAAAGTAGTCATGCAAATTGAAATTTTCCATTCAATGTGCATATCTTTAGTTTCACCTTCAAGAACACTTACTTCTCATGTGAAATAATAATAAAAAAAAACAATTATGGGATTTCAACAGCAGTTAAAAGAGAAAAAAATATGTTTTCTGTCCTTGAAGGCCCTGTACCTGATTTTATTTTAATCTCTCCAAGAATAATGGCTTTTTACATGTATAATTTGAGGCAGAGGAGGTAATTTTTTTTATTAAAAATAAATTATTAATTGATTGCTGATAGATTTTCTGTTTCCTGCCTATAGGGCTCATTCTGTAGAGCTTACTAAGAGTATTTCCTAACGAGGGGTGTTTTCTCCCACAAAGTGCAAGAAATGTGTTGTTAACAGAGGCATGGCGGTCGACGAAGGGAAAGTTAGGATCTCTACTGGTGGTAATGTTATATACAGCCATCTTCAGACTGACAGCTGTCCCAGCATGCAGCACGGCAGCAGCAGATTCCAGGGGAGCGCTCATCGAGCTCAGAGTTCTACGTTAAAAGTTAATTTTTCTGCTGCCATTGCTCTTCAAAAGTACGTTTTAAAAAAAATTTGAGGCAAAAACATCATACCTTGAAGTAGGGCTGAATGATGAATTGCATTTTGCAATAATATCGCGATAGGATAAAACGAGATTTTCTAACTGCAAAGGACACGATTTGATGAGGGGTGAAGCGGGTGGCAAAGTAACACGGAGGGAAACTCGATATCGTCCGTGACTAACCTGCTGAACAATGGCCTCAGACTGGACAAAAACTGAAACAACTGAATGTCTGGCACCAAAGAGGAGCAGTACGTCACTTGTGTGGAATTATTTTGGGTTTAAAAAAGAAGATGCTGCGCAACGTCAGGTGTCGTGCCGGACATGCTTTGCTATTGTTGCTACCTCACGAGGGTAACACGACAAACCTTTATCAACACTTGAAAACCCACCACAAGGCTGTGTATGATAGTTGCATGGCTAGAATGGCAACTACCCGTGCCTCAACATCAATTAAGCACAATACCACCCGACGGGAATCACTGACCGAACTGTTTGAACAATTTGTGTTACTCCTTACGAACAAAATGCGAAATGGCACACTAAAATAACTCAATAACGGAGTTTTTAGCGAAAGACATGATGCCCGTCAGTATAGTGAACAAACAAATATGTTTCATAATAATTAGATTTATTTAAAGTTTAAATAAATCTAATTATTATGAAACGGATTTGTTTGTGTATGTTTAAAAAGACGTGAGAAATGAAACCGGAATAATCGCATTAAAGGCACACTATGCAACATTTTTCAGTTAATTAATGTGTTCCATAACGTTTTGGATGATTAAATGAGTCATTTCAGGTTGAACAAAGGTATTCTCGGCCGCCCTGGTGGTCTGTGGGGGAAATACCGCACTTGCAATTGCAGGAGCACCGACCCGCACCCACAGGCTCAGAAGTCTCGCGAGAGTCAGTCTTGCTTTACGGCGAGAACTGCTACACCCCCCAGTTAAAAGCATTCTCGTTGCTAGCACAGTGGCGATCTTTGTGCAGTTATGCTACGTTCACATCGGACGCAGCAAAATCGCGTCTGCTGCTTCATTTTTGCTGCTTGTACCAGTTAGTTCTGACGCGCGGCTGAAGCAGCTTTGCTGCTCTGGCTGCGCGGTGCAAAAGTGTGTCTGACGCGCGTTGGGCGGAGCTTCACTATCCTTTCTCTGCCTTGCAGCTATATTTGCTGTGATCAGTGGGAATAAACTAGTTTTAATATGTGTTTAAGTGAGAAAATACACCTGTAAACGTAATCAGTGCAGTCAGTTCATTCAGATTATTATCCTGTCTTCAATATTTTTTCTGTTGGAGCCGCTCAGACCCCCACATACCAGCGGTGCGCCGACAGTAGGAATCCCTTAATCAGCAGCCTCTGGCCGGGTCACCTCCTCGCGGTTCACCGGGGCAGCTGGTAGGTGTTTTTCATCTAAATAATCTAAACTGCAGGCAGCAGGATAATAAAAGCGAACATATTCTGCCGGCAGATTTCTGCATTTTAAGTTAATTTAGGCGTCAATAAACTGTTTAAGAGGAGTGATCATCAGCGCTGTGTCTCTCTCCCGATGAGCCTCGCTGGAAAATCAACACCGGTTGCATAGTGTACCTTTAAAGGGGAACACCGTTTTTTTTTTTTTTTTACATTTGGCCCTTGATTTTACGTTATGACATCATGTTCTACTCATCCATATGAGTTTTGCGTCATTTGGAGCTGTACTGAAGATATTCCGTTAGGTTATATCCAAGTAACGTCTTCCTATGGGCAACGAGTTGAAGGCACAAACTAAACTGTTCATAATTTATTCTTTATGGTACGCCAGCATTCATAACATGTAGGCGAATCACTGTCCGCCAGACATCCACGGTTAGATTTTTTATATTTATAGCTTCTACAAACAAAGCGGAGTGTGTATGACGTCATCCGCCCGGCCAGCTACCCTTCATTCATCCTGTCCGCTGAACTGCTGCTAGTTGACCCAAGAGTTCATCTGGCACCTGATCCATTCATTCACTTCTTTATTTTTGTTCTGAGGCAGATTTTCTTACAAACTTGTTTTTCCTGTTCAAAACAATGACTGATTAGCTAAATATAGCACTTGAAACAGGATTTAATCTGTAATCTGAGGGTCACATTAAATGATGTGGAGACACCTGTACCCAATGTCTTGATCAACATATTTATTAAAGAAATCTTTAAAAAAATAAATAAATAAACTGAGTTTTAATGCTTTGTGGTTTAAAAACTCCTTTTTCTGATTGACAGAAATGTTCCTTGACATAAAGTGATGCTTTTGAACTTTTAAACCTGCATTTACAGTTTCTGCTGTTTGACAGTTCCAGTAACTCCATTACTACAGTGTGTGTTTGGTATCCAAATGAAGGCAAATCAAAACAGAAAAGTAATGGGGGCGTACTGTACGTCAAAAACACTGTCAACAAGCATCATAAAATGCTTTTCAAAGCATCTGTTCTGCACTCAACCAATTCATGAAATTGAAATATCTTTAAAGCTGTGTTTATTTTTCGAAAAGTTATACATCAATAGAATCTCCAAGATATTTTAACTTGAAGCAATTCTAAATGTCTATTCAGCAGAGAACTTGATTTCACTGGAATTCGGATTATGCATTTAGGTATTTTGCTGCAATAACTGCAAATGTTGTCTCCAAGAATTTCTAGACTTTTTGAATTTTGTCATGGCTAAGTATTTAGACTGAAGAAAAAATAAGAACATGAAGCAGGAGTGAATAAACAAATTAATTAATGGATGGCAAGTTAAGAGAACAAAAAGAGGAATAATGTATGGAAACCAGTCATTAATTTCATCCCAGACCTATTAGAATTAGAACTTACATCGCTGTTAAAACAGAGCCAAGGAACTGACAGAATGGGTCTGTAGAAATTAAGATTACTAAATAAAATGTTTAATGTAATGGTAAACATTCCGAATTCCTCTAAAGGAAACAAATTCCTACCGCATAAAGGTTTCAGAAATCCGAGGTATACAAAGGGTGAAAATAAATAACAAAATACATAAATAAGAATGTCATATAAAATAAATAAATTATCTATATACCAAATGTCACATTTATGCATCCAGTTTTAGTCCGTGAGGCCGACCCCCCTCTGTACTTTTAAGGGTAGGCTTAAAACTTTGCTTTTTGATAAAGCTTATAGTTAGGGTGGCTCAGGTTATCCTCTATAGTTATGCTGCTATAGGCTTAGACTGCTGGAGGGCATAGGGCACCCTATTCAACATTCTACTTCATTCTATATATCTATTCTCCCATTCTACAGTATTTGTTTTTCAATCTGTAACATTATGCTCTCTCTGCTTTTTCTCATCCAAGTAGGTTCATCTGCTCTGTTCCTGTTTGGCTGTGAAAGAATAAGACATAGAAATATCAGTTGTGTCTTTGCCATGAACACCTTTGTTTATACAGATGTTCGAGTTTTTTTTTTTTTGTGTGTAGTAATGTTTCTCTGACTGTGACTGACTGTATGGGCTCCCTTTCATTCTCTGCCATGGGAGCTGGCTCGGAGCTCTTCTGCCTGGCTGTGTGTTTCCTGGATGGGGCCGCCTGTGGAGCTGGTTGACAGTTGCCTTTTGTATCTCTGCTTCTTTCTATATGTCTGCTTCTGTTTCCTTGAAACTCACACTGAGACTGGTTCTGCTGGAGGTTTTCTTCCTGTTAAAAGGGAGTTTTTCCTCTCCACTGTCGCTACAAGCATGTTTAGTGTGAGGGATTGCCTTTAAGTCAATGAGTCGATACAATCCACTGGTTTTTCTTAGAATTATAGATTGAATCAATTTGACTGTATGATCTAGTTGAATAGTAAAATGCCTTGAGAGGACATGTGTTGTGAATGTGGTGCTATATAAATAAACTGAATTGAAGTTATAAAATGCACAATTAAAAAATTCAATAAATCCCTATAAATTGTAAAAGACATTCTAAAAGTATGAATTAAATATTTAAATGTCATAGAAAATTTGCACATTGGTCGCCCATTTACCATGCAGCACCATCGCGCACCTTTATATCTATGTATAAAGAGTTCCTAGTCTGTGAGCCTTTATATTTCTGTGGTCAGTCTAAATGACGAGTCTCCTCTTATGTGACCCTTATTAAAGTTTACTGCAGCAGGAAAACGAACCAAAACACGAACTCCATCAGACTGACTTTAAATGGCTGATAATAAATTACTTAATTTTCCTTCTTAGTGTATAAATAGTTTTCACCGCATGATGAACCCTTGGAATTTGTTCTCCTTTTATTGCAAGCTTTAATAAGAGCAGAGACGCCTCCTGCAGAGCGTCGCTTGCTTGGCTGAATGTTTTGGACTGGGACGGCTGTGGACTGTTTTTCCTTCACAACACAGAGAGACGGGGGAAGGATCCTATGAAGTATCTTGAATATCTCAGGCTGTATCAAAGCTTCAAGTTGGTTTATTCCCAATGATACTGGTTTATCTCCAACTTTTGTTTTGTTTTTGTGCTCTTGGGATTATCTACACTGGGAAAAATGAAAAAAAAATAGCTTTTAAACTTGAACTTTTTCTGCACAAATGTTTTAGAGCTATATGTCAAACAATATTTTCGCCGACCGGGGGGTGGCGTGGGGGCTGGACCGTTTTAGTTGATCGTATTCAACCGCAGTTTGGCAGAAAGAAAAGAAAAGCATATTTCAAACAAAGCTTTCATTTACTTGATATAAAGCAATTTTTTCCTTTTATCTTTTATTTATTCCATTTTATACAGCTTTACCTAGAAAATGAATAACATATTGGTTTATGTGGTTTATACCCCACAATGTTGGGTATAAAAAAAATTACATTTTATATTTAAATATTTAATTCATTTATTACAACTGAGCTACACAATGTAAACATCAACTAGGTCTAGAACGTTGTTTCATCTGCGCCCAAATAAAGCTCTCTTTCACATTAACTTCCTCATTACCAGTAACTGGTTATATCACTTCCTGTCTGATGGGCCATCTGTCAGCCGCCTCATTAACACCCCGTCACCTTAGCACCATCAGCTGGGTGAGGAAACATACACACACTTCTTCCTGACAGTAACACTTCAACATCACATCCGTGGTCTGAGGAGACAGTTTCTGACAGCAGAGGGGGAAAAAAAGCTTCAATCCTGCACTTTATGACTCAAACACAAGGAAACGTTACCAACCTTTGGCTGCTTGGCATATTTTCCTGTTCTTGTGTCCCTGATTGAGCTGATGTCGAAGATTTCAGACTCCTGCAAAACAAAGACAATGATTTGGTGAATATCCTCACCGCTGAATAATGTTTACAGCATTTAAAGTTCTACTAGAGGTGAAAATAAAAGAGGAAGAGGAAACGGAGGAAATAGTTCTAGTGTCGGAGTAAGAGTGGTTCTTACTACTTTACGGAAGATATGCTTCCATATTTTAAGAATTATTGCCATTAAATTTAATGAAATTTGGATTAGGAAACAAAAAAAACTGTTTAAAAAACCAAACAAAAAGAAAACAGACTGCTCGGCTGAAACAGGCTGCCATCGGCCTGGTCACACAGATGGCTTGTCAAACTTAAGATCTGTTGGTGAGCATTTTTTCGGTGCACAGTGTGCACCATATAACTATACAGATCCAACCAGTTCAATCAGCTGAACATCAGGTTTAAGCTTCTTATCTCTGCACTGAAGGCAACGGTCAGTGCAACCACAGGTTCAGCACCAACAATCATAAAACCTGGAGATGGGCGAAGCCAGGACAATCACTTTGAAAAAATTCTACGAGATTCAAGCAGAAACTAAAGCATTTTTTTTTTCTGTTACAACTATATATTACAGGAAAATACAATCATTCAATCCTGCTTATTGACAGAAATTAAGATGCACAGATCAGTCAGCTAGGGAACAAAATGAGCCAACATTTTCTCAGTTTGGTTAGGAAAAAACCCTTAATTATAGAGAACCTGCTGTATATGCTTTTATTTGTAGATTCATTTCTAAAGTCACAATATTCAGACAGGAAACTGACAGAGAGCGAAAGAGATAGACATCCAGTAAAACCTCTAGAAATGAGTCACCACCATGCTGGTGTTATCTAAGCTACTGATTGCTGGTCATCTTTGAAGTCTGGCATGTCAATTGCAGTGTCAGCTGGAACTAACAACTATTTTACAATTTTTTTTTTTATCTTTTTTTTTTTTTTTGATCAATCGACTAATAATCAGATGTAAAAAGGTCCCTTAAGATTTTATGCAGAATTTAACTTGAATGCAAAAATTTAGTCTTTTTCTTTTTACAATTTTAATATAATTACTGATCTGAGAGGGTTGGTTGGTTTTGGAGTCTATACTCCAGTTAATGATTAATGGATCAGTAAATTAGTTTGATAATTATTCCAACAATCTCGAATAAGAGTTTCAGCACTCATTCCCATTTTTAACAATTTCTTTAAAAAAAATATGAGCTAAATATTAAAGAAATGGGTGCTACGCATACTCTCAAAGAGTTGTAGATTTTTACTTAAAAAGAAAATGATATTTTCAAGAATTACAAGATTATCCCATTTATGCATCAAAGCACATGTCACTGACATTCAGCAGAATCACACTTCATGTCGATAGTTAAGGTGTTAACAGACCAAAAATGCTGGGAGTTCTTGAATTTAACAAATGTTCTATATAGCTATAGATTCTGTATATATAATGTGTCTGCACCATCAACACCAAGTCAAATTCATTGTAAGTGCAAACCTACTTGGCAATAAATTTGATTCTGATTCTGAAATGAGGAGAAAATATATATTTTATCTGTGGTTCACCTACAAATCCCTTATTCTGAGTTCTAACTGACCGATTGGTGCGTTTTTCTCTCTGTAGAACAAAGCACAGCCATGTTTGGACAGGATTAGAAGCTACAATTAATTTATAAACAGCATAAAATCTGGTTAGATTCTGACTTTGTTCATTTCTTAAACATAACTAGCTTTAAGTCTGGGTCAAAGAGAAAACTAAGTAAATTATTTAATAAATATATTTTATAGTCACCGCCTAATCACCCGACCCTTCCTCTGCGATGCGTCACAGATAAAATGTCAGCGTATGTTGGATACCTTCTTTATTCCAAATCAGAGGAGATGTAAAGGTTGCTTATTTACTTGCAGACTAACAGGAAACACAGCAACTGGTCTGCTTTTATAAAATGATTCTAAACCTGGAACCAGAACATTTTACCCAAAATGGATTGATGACCCAGTTCAGCTATTTAAGACATGGTACGGGTTTCTACAACAAGAAAATATTAACTGTATTACAAAAAACTAACTATATATAGGTTGAACTATTCCAAAAAAGTTAAAAGCAATCCACTGGACTTGGTTTCAGAGTTTGAAGTCTTGCAAGACTGCAAAATTAGATGGGTATGGGGTATTGCAGTCTAACAAAATCAAAACGACCCCTATTCCAAATGGGTGGACCCCTTTGTCTGTTCCAATTTGCATGTTTTCTAAACAAAAACATGACTTTGTTGGGCTACTGTATAAAACCTCAAACTCAACGCTATTTCTGACATTTTGAATTGAAAAAGCTTCCTGGATGGGAAGCGAAACGTCTTCAAACTCTAAACCAAGTCCAGTGGATTGCCTTTACGTTTATTGGAATGACTATGACCTGGATGACTGAGAACCTTCACATGCATAGGTTGAACTACTGCTGTAAAATATTGCAACTAAATTCAACTTTAGATTTTATGTTGGCTTTTTTGTTACATTTTGCCCAAGTTCCTGAAGATTCTCCATGGGCCTTATTAAAGCTCCTTTATAATGCCCATTAGGCTTTCTTCTCCAGAGAACCTGTGTTGAGATGGTATGATGCAAACTAAAAACAATGGATCATTTTTATATATTACACAGACTTAAATGCATTCCTAGAAAGTTTTTTTATCTCTAAATATGTTTTTCACCAAAAAAAACTTTGAGCCTGTGATCAACATGGAGCACGTTGGAACAATAATTGATCAGTTTAAAGCCTTGTTTGGTTATTTTTTAACTGATAAGTGTGTTGATTCTTTGTTTGCACTTTATATTATATTTATTTTCATTTCTACTGTGACCAACAGTACACTGCTCATTTTAATAAACACTGATCTGGTACCTGGATCGGATATTCGCTGCAATATTGACTAATTCGCTGGATCAGACATCAGTGATTTGATATCTGATATCTCTTATTCTTTACATAGAACTTTTATTCCTTTCTTTTTGCTGCTTATTTTTTTAAATAACATATAGTACATTTATATCTGTGTTCATTCGTTACCTTTTTTTTTTAAACAATGTTTATGTCAAGGTTAAATCCTTCACTTACATGGTAACATATATAGTTCATTCACTTGAATCAGATTGATATCGGATTTTTTTTGTTATTTTAAAACAGTATCTGAAGAGAGCTTTATTTAAATGTCAAAAAGATCTTATAATAACCAATAATCAAACAGCTTATTTTTTTTTTATTCCTTAATAAAAACATCTAGTGGGCTTCTCTAAAGACCCCTACCATCGAGCTTAGCCCATTTTCTAGGGTAAACACTCAATGAGGGGTTAAGAAAATGTGAATCGGCTAATAAAACTACAAAATATGAAATCAAATTAAAGAGTTATATAAGCCATCTAGAGGAAAGAAACAGAAGCCAAAAAAAAGAAACACTTTTGCTTTCAAATGTGATTTTAGTTGACTTCTATGCAAAGCAGTGTAAGATAGAAACAAGCAGATGAGGACAGTACAGGAAGAATGAGCAGAACATAAGGACTCAGGGTAAAATCATATCTTCTCTGCAGCCTTTTATATCTTTCCATTAAATCTCTTGGATATAATCTACGCCATATCAATGCACAACTCGACCAGTGACATGTCTGTGTGCATTTGGATGGCTGTGTGACATAAAAGACATACTCTCTTCTTTTCTTTTTAGGAACATCAGCAGAGTAAAAGTATATTCCTGATAACCCTCTTGAGATTCAGAGCTAAAGATTGTGGAGCACCAATAAGCACAGGGACACAGCTGCCTCAGGAGAAAACGACGGGATAAAAATTAGAAGGCGGAGGGGAGAATGCGGTCATAAACCCAACCATGAACACAATGAAGGATGCATGCACCATCCTGTGTAAATATTTGTTTAGACCCACACTCATTCCACAGGGTTCATTATTTCTTCCATCCAATCATTCTAGAATGTTCTTTGTAGCTTCGCTAGAGATGGAAATTTGTGTTTAAATGTTTAGCAAACCGTTCCTTTTAATGCAGTATCTTGCAAACGTCCCCCCCCCCCCCCCCCTTTCTTTTTTACTTTTCTTTGTACACAAACTGTTGCATGCATGTTCAGATCCCTGGAACAGCCTTGGAGAACCAGTTAGTTGCAACTACAGCTGCAAGTTTTTGAGATTATTGTTTCTACTGAATTTACACCAAACTAATTATTCCTATTCTTCTTTTTAATTTAGCTCCAGACTTGACTGAACTTTTCTGAACATTCTCAAATATTTCCACCTATTCTCCTTGAAATGTGTTAACTTTATTCCAATAATAAGATGTTTAGGTCTAAATGAATGCATTGTAGCTCTAGGTGTGTGTATACAGATTATCTCTTTTGCTCATTTTATCAGGAACTCTTCCAGAAATAATTCCCCATCTTGCATTTTCTCTTCTTTATCCACACAGCATCATTCTGCCACCGTCATGTTTAAGTATGGTACAGATTAGGAATGCAACTAAAAATCACTTTGCAAATCCATAAATCTGTTGATTTTTTAAATTTTTTGATTAATCAATTAATCATCCAAGAGCAAAACGTTCTTTAAAGCAGATTTTAAAAGAATTAAGCCAGGTGAAAATAAAACTTTTCCACTTGTATAGAGCATATTGACAGAAAACAAAAGTTTTTTTTTTTCCCATTTTAAATGAAATAATAATTACTGCTCTAAGCGGGTTGCCCTGTCAGCTAAGGCATAGTTTGCAGTCTCTATTCTCCAGTTAATTAATTGATTACTATATTAGGTGAGGTTATTTCAATAAACAACTAATCACAATTAATTCCCATCCCCGTAAAAGAAATACGTACACCCAGCATGACGTCATTACATTTAGGTACATCCCAAGTTTATTTAATTCTACAGTGATGCACTCATTTGTATTGATCCGTCACATGCAATCCTTTTTAATCATGTCTTATTAAACAGCCTTTGCAGGCGATGTGTTGGTCTGTAACTTAA